GCGGAAGTGGCAATGACGAACAATAACTCAAACAATTTTTACAAACCAGAAGCAACGATTCGGTGGAACTCGCCACTTGGTTAACTAGATCACAAAGTACGGGGTTACATCATGATATTATAATGAAATCTTGGAATGCATGTCAAATGAAATCATAAGACAAAAATTACAACTTATAAAAGTCCGCAAAGCTGTTTTCGTTAATAGTAGACGCTTTATTGAAAATCATTGAAGACATTTTTATGTGATTTGACTTAAGTTTCAATAATTTACGAGGACAATGTTACGATGGGGCATCTAACATGGGCGGCAAAATTTCTGGTTTAAAAAGTCTTATAATAGCAAAAGAACCTCGTGCTTTATTCGTACATTGCACAGCACACCCCCTTAACCTTGTAATACAAGATGCAATGGAAGATGTCTATAATGCAAGAAACTTTATTGGTACCTTCAAAGAACTAGTAAATTTCTTAAGAAATTCGCCAAAGCTATTAGCAATCTTCAAAGATTTGCAATCTGAAACGAGTCCTGTCATATCTCCATTTTGCCCAACCAGGTAAAATATCTTATTGCTATAGTATAATTATTAAAATTTGTATTTATATGAATGTCTTATAATTTCATTGTTTATTTAAGTGGTGTATGCGAGTCAAATCTCTTAAAACTCTTCAAGCAGGAGACAATTATAAAGGCGCTTTAACATTTTTTCGAACAATTGGAATACGACAGACATGCAGACTAGCGACTCAGCACAAGCAGCTGGATTTTGAAGAAATTTGATGTCATTTGTTTTCTTCTTTTTACTGCATATTTCGATTGCAATTTTTGAACGTATCGAAATGTTAAAAATCCAACTTCAAAAACTTGAATTGTGCGTTAATGAAGGTTATAAAAAGATTAAAATTATTAAAGATCAAATGAACAAGATGCGAAATTCACAATTTGAAAGTCTATGGAATAATTTTGTCAAAGAAGCGGCACATTTAGACATCGATGAACCGGAAATAAAACGAGCAAAGAAAGTTCCTAAACGGTATATTCGTCTACAGAAACCGAATATAATTTTTCTAATGAGTTGATTATTATAGAAAAATATTTTTTGAAATATTACACCAAGTTCTAATGTCGTTTAGACCCCCTTGGATTCTGATATGTCATTTGTAAATACATGCGAAAATTTTGTAATTGGAAAGACTTCTCAGGTAGATGCTGTTGTAGAGTTTTATAATCAAAATGACGATGACGGAGAATTCAACTTGGATCCAAGCAAGCTTATACTTCATCGAGACATGTTTTTAAGTATAGCGTCGAAACAAAATTATGCAATTACTTCACTCCGCGATATTGTAAAATTTTCGAAAGAAACTTCGGTTCTACATTTGTGCTAAGAAGTTGGTAAAGTTTTTACTAATGGTACCGAATTCTTCATGTACTTGCGAAAAGTCGTTTTCAGCAATGCGACGGTTAAAAAATTATCTTCGAACAACAATGGTGCAAAAACGTTTAAACTCATTAGCTCTTTTGAACATTCATCAAGAAGCAGCGAAAGCATTAGATATGACAAAATTAATTAACGATTTTATAAATAAAAAGAAAGTACGAAAAGCAACATTTGCAATGAAATAGTTTATTATCTATTGAAATAAATTTTGTAAACGGTGCGTAAATGTTATTGTAAACTTTAAAAATTTAGGGTATATATGTTATTTTAAGTTAATCAGGAAATTAAATTGCCAAATAAAATTGTTGTTAAAAGTTACATTGTTATTGTTGTTAAAAATGTGTATTTTTTATTCTCTCTCTTCAACCAACCCCGCCACCCGCAATTCTAATTTACTCCATATGCAAGAAAATTTTACTTCGTCGGTCTTGACTTAATTTTTTCCGGAATTTACCTAATAACCGGTAGTCCTGGCAAAGCATCCACATACGTAATGTTTCATTTTTCTCGATTTTAAGTGACTTGTAAAGTCGTATTTTGTAGTAAACCCCGATATTAAGATTTTTGCACGGCAGGACTCGTAATTAAGACTGATTATTCTGAAAGAAAAGGCGACAATGCCGGTATCAGATTCGGGAAGGGTGGTGGGGACACATACAGAAGTGTTTTGCTGTTCGAGAATTCGTATTTTGGAAGTTGGTGCTCACTTTAGGAAGCTAGTAGACCTCGCCGCCAAAATGGGTTTGAGGGTGTCCGCTTTGAATTCAATAGTGAAACAGCATGAGCAGGTTCAAAGGCGAAAACCTGGCTAAAAACACAAAAATAAAGGTTTGTTTTGGGAACTTCTGACCATGTCACTCGAAAGAGGAATGTTTCTTACATTCTTTGTGAAATTATAAAGCCTAATCCCATTATCTGCTGTGCGCTATGAAGTTTGAAGTTGGAATACGCGGCCATGCTCTTGTGGCGTTAGAGGAGATAAGCTGTGGATTCTAATATTTATAAAAACGAGCTATATTTTAATTTTGACTGTACATTTCTATCACTGATGTCTCTGTTGGTGGTAAGTATAACAAAAATTATGTTAATTTAATATAATTACAATAATCTGTTTTCAAAGTAATAAAGTACAAAATATAACTAGTATAAAATTATATAAAATGCAATATAACACCAAATTTATGAAGAACTAAGCTTATTGAATATTCGTTCAATTAAAGGAAAATTTGGTTGCGTGTCGCTGTAAATTCATCTTTTAAGAAAAATTTCGTTATGAGCGTGTATACCTCATAGCGGCATTACTGAAATTAACGAGCGTTCTGCTCACAAATTTTGTACCGGCAAAGTGTGTGACGTTTGAAAATAGATATGTTATTAAAGTTTGACATTATCTTTGAAATACGAAATTATTTGGTGGGGATAATCGCGTATTCCAGTTTTTTCTTCCGACCATATGTATACCTCGTCACGACATAACGACACCTACACACACGGGGTGAGTGAAATAGTCATCAGTTCACAGGGTTCGTTAGGGGAAAAAGTTGCTTATAACTCATTTTAATAGATATTAGTTATTAGCTTATTTTATCATCTTTGGAATAATACATTTATCGCGCCGAACCTGAGCATTGAGGTTTAAAGAATACTTTATTGGCAGAAGAATTTGTTCGTGCTGTATTCTTTGTCGTGTAAAATTAGTCTCGCATGATTGTCGTCATTTCGTCGAAGTGTAATAGTGTATGATTACCTCATTTTTTCGATAATTCCGGAGTTTATATCATGAGATTTTAGTGTGTGTTCTTCTTTAATGTTTCGACTTTTCTTGGCGGTACTCCCCGGTCCTCTTCCTACATGAAATTAACAAAGGGTTTAGTTTACGGGATTTTGTACCAATAAAAATACGCATGATTTATACCTGGAACATACCAACATAGTATTTCATCAGGTTATAAATAAAGTAATCATTCGTTGCAAATAGCAGTTTGAGGCTGTGAATAATTTACTTTGGTTGTGTGTAACTCATCGCGGTACTCTTCGTTTCATTTCGGTAGCGCAAGGTTCAGAGGTTCAGTTCATGGGATTTTAATTTAATATGTAGTGCGCATAACGACTTAAATCAGATAGAAGGCAATAGATTATATTATTTTACAAATAATGCATTTCTGCAGTTTGAGGTTTTGTGAATTTTTTTTTTTTTTTTTTTTTTTTTTTTTTTTTTTTTTTTTTTTTTTTTTTTTTTTTTTTTTTTAGCTTGTGTACCTACCTCTTCGCGGCACCTCGCATTGGTGAAATTAACGGGGCGTTCAGTACAAGTCGTTTTGTAGTAATAAGGGTTGGACATAACGATTTCTAATTGATATCGGGCGATAGTGTATTTTATTATTATTTTAAAAATAAATCAAACTTATTGCAAATTACAGCAGATTGAGATTTTATGAAAAATTCTGATAAGCGGATGTATCTCGTCGGAGACATTTTATCATTTTTGGTTGCCATATTGGATCAGCCATGTTGTTTTCATTAATTTTGATATCAGATTTGAAATTAGTGACCTCGAAAACCTCTAGGTAGACTAAGTGAAAAAGGAATTGTGGGCAGTTTAAAATAGATTTATTTTTCTAAAGGTCATTTCTTATCAAGTGACTTTTAAGGCCCATTCACAATGCAAACATAAACATAAGCATGGCGTTAACATTAAAGGTAGGACTACGTCCATAAGCTGACTCATTAACAATGCGTTCGCATAAACATACCACGTAAGACGTTAATTTAAAAGCTTTAAACTTCTGTGCTTATGCTGGTTGATTGGTTTATTTCTTATGTCTTACGTCTGTAAGTCATCCCTTTCCATCATTCCCTCCCATAGGGATGGAAAGGGTGTCTTAATCCGCTGTCCTCCCCCTAACTGCCCAGAAAAATGGCACATTTGCTGCAGCATTACAATCTGGGCAATTGGAGGGAAGGGGGGGGGCCGTGGCGTAAGACACCCTTTCCATCCCTATGGGAGGGAGTGTTGGAAAGGGATGACTTACTAAACCAAAATTTCTATGCAATCTACAACGTATTATATGAGAGTTGGGGTGAGAACAGAGGGGCAGGCAGAGCAGAATGGATGGGAGTGTTTAACAGATGATTGTATCTGAACAGAGCCAATATTCAGCAAGTCTAAAAAAAAGTAAACACATACATAGGGTCAAGCCAAGACCCTATGCTCCGAAAAGAAGAAGACTATGATAACGATGATGATGATAACAACAACAATAATAATAATAATAATAATGCTGAGGAGGCTGCAGGTTTTAGTCCTGTGTAAGCATGGTCATTTTTGTGATCGTCCCTTCCCCCACATCAACATTCTACCATCTGATAATTCACACTTCAGGGCGTAACAACCTCAACGTACTGACGAATACAACTGAAAAGCTGATCTCGGAAAAATTACACACGTTAATCGTGTAGCGTCGTCAGAAATGGCCTAGACGCTAATTAATAATAACAATGATGATGATAATAATATAATTGATTCTGTGCAAGTGAAGTGTCAACTCTGTATGAAAGATTATGGAATATTAAAATAAAACATTTACCAAAGATGAAGCTTTAATAAACACTTCAGTATAGAATTTAAACAACAATACACTTCAACAAAAAATGACAAATAAAAGCAAAAAAATCTTTATTCTTTTTATCATGTTGCACAAGTTGTAAACTGTACAACAACACTCATTACAGAAATACATACAAGAGCACCCAAACATTTTAACAGAATTAGTTGGAAACTTTGTGTTTCTTGTGTTTGGGAAATGTGTGACCAGTATTTTTCCTTTTAACCTTGGTTTTTTTGGGAAGTTCAGAACTATCATTGTGTTGATAGTTTTCATTATTTAACTTTGGTCGTTTTTTCTTTTTATTCAATTCAGTTTCCTTTTCATCCTCTGTTTCTTTATAACTTGATATATCAAAGTCAGCAAAACTAAATTTTTTCGTAAGTCCTTCAGACATTGCTGTGAGACGTGCTTCTTTTGCATACTTCTTAAGAATAGCCTTTCCCTTTAAACTATTTGTCTTTGGACGCTTCCTTTTTTTGATAGTTTCTTCTATGTCATCTTTCTCATCATTTCCTGATTCATAGCCTCTATCACCAGTGTCACTACTAGATCTCTCTTCATCTCTGCCTTCTAAGTTATTCGGAAAGTCACCATTTTCTTTCACATCACTTTTATTACTTTCTGCATCTTCATTTAATGTCAGGAGTTCACCGTTGGCTTTTCTTTTTTCAGCTATTACGTTCTTCTTGCTTAAACTGATAAAAAAAAGTTCATTTGAAATAATTACTCTCATGATTCTGCATTGGGTTGTTTAAATAAGTACAAAAATTAAAATATAATTTGGAAGCAAAGTAAACTATTAAAACTTTACACTAAATGTCATGTTCAAAGACTAATTTCTCAAATTAAGGAAAAATATTTATTTATATTTTATTTCATACAAAAATTAATAATTGTATGTAACATTTGGAAGGGGAACGAAAATTTACATTGAGAGCAGAGAGTAAAATCTGAGCAAGGACAACAGTTTACTTTAAGAAAAAAAAACCACTAACATTTAGAAGGTCTCTAAAAGGAGAAGAGAAAGTAAAGAAGGCATTACTGGAAGTTATTAATTTCCTGCTAATGACATCTATGACAGAAAAGAAAAACTAAAACACTAAGAAAATTCAAATATTAAATGAAAGGAGATTGTATAAAGCATTTTTTAAGACTGTTGAGGAAGCAATGGGAGAGAAGAAAATATAATAGTGTATGGCTCACTGAAGAATGGAACTCTCTGGTTTTGTAAAGAAGTGAAAGAACTGGTCGAGTGAAAAATAAAATATTACATTAGTTCCTTACCGAAAGAACCAGAGGGCCGAAGAAAGCATAATTACAACTAGTGGTGCTACAACAACACAAACTTTCTTGCATTATTTCTAAATTTGCAATTTTTGAAAATTCAGAGAGCAACAAAAAATGACTTACATCATTATTGTAAGCATCCCTTGTTTAATCCTAGGAATAAAATTTAAAGCAAATATTTTGAGCATTTTTTGAGAAAATGTTTTCTTTAAAACTGCATTATTTTAAGCAGAAAGTTCACAAAAACCACTAATGTTTTACCTTTTTAAGGAACAGATTTTTTACAACAGACTGAGGCAAAAATCTCTATCTTCAAAGTAGTAGTTTTGACACGTTAACTTTTTGCAACTTTAATTACTGAAATGCCAGTTCTGCCAGAAATTATATTAGCACCAACTTTTTTTACCATCTTTCAATACATACAAGAAAAAAAAATTAAGAAAAAATTTTGAGCTGTTAAAAAACCACTTTAAAAACTGTTAAAAATTTTCAATATTTGACAAAAATTACAAGAAAACTATTCGTATTTTTGAAAACTTGTGCCTGACCTTACTCAAGACCTGTCTTTAAAGAACAGATTTCATTCAAGAAAAAAATCTCTATCCTCAATATTGTAGTTGTAGGAAGAAAGTTGCCAAAAAAGGTTGAACTTAAATCTGAACTAAAAATCAAGGAATTCAACACAAATGAAATTGCACCATTTTTTAAGCGCCCTTTATGGTATCCAAGGACACAGTTCAATTAAAATGTTTGTAGGAATTTTTGAGAAAATTTTGAAAATATTGAGACTTTACATGAATTACCACAAAATTCAAAATATGTTTCCAAATCAAAGGGCAATGACTTCTTGCCAAGACTGAGAAATATCAATTTTGGAGAAAATCAACTAAACCGTTTAGGTGCTAGTTTCGACCACAGATGGTTGGTTGTAGGTTTTGCGATCAACCGATATTTCTGTATCTAGGACCCACAAAACAGATTGCAAGTATACAATGTGTTAGAGGTAATTTACTATATATAAGTGTAAGAATTTACATTCCCATATACATACGTATATAGAGAGTAATACATGTAGTATAGGGAAAGTTATGAGAAAATCAATTTCAAGATTTCAATGGAAATACACATCTGGGGTTCCCCAATACCAAAAAAGGAGTTATTTTCAAAACGTCCATCGGTGAACACCAGTAGCGCCTAAACCACGCAAAGGATTTTTTCCAAATTGAAGAAACCCGTCTATCTAGCTTGAATCGAAGCTTTAAGATTTTGAAAAAGTTTCTTTAAAAATTAGAGGTATTTTACATGAAGACCCATTTCAAGTCATTTTCAAAATTTTTCAGAAAGAGCTCCAAATTCTTTCTTTGAATTTCTTGTAAGAATAAGTAAAATAACTTATAAACCTGGCATAGGTAAAATTTTCATAGTTAACCCTGAATTTTTGAAAAATGCGAAAGTTTGAGGCATCTTGCTACAACTATAAAATTAAAGACAGATTTTTCCTTCAAATAAAATTTATTCTCCATAACAATATGGAGAAAGGTGATCTGGATGGTATTTCATGAACGTCATGTACATTTTTTGAAAATTTTAGTACTTTTCACGCAACATTGCCACCAATATGTGCAATTTAAAAAAAAATGTGAAAATTAGATTTTCTCAACAATTGCTCCAAATATCTTCTTTAAACTTTTGGTAGGGATAGTACTAAATACATTCTATACAATGACATAAACATCATATTGCTCTATTCTTTTGTTTTTTCAAATATTACAAAAATTTAATTTTTTTAACTTGTCTGTCAGGTTGTTAGTATTTACATTAATGGTGATTCGTTCACATTAATTTATGTATGAGTACATGTGCTTTAAATAATGTCAGATCAATTTCTCTAAAATTCTACCATTTTCTGTTAAAATTAACTCAAAAGTATGCATTTCTAGAAACACTCACACACCATTTTCTCAAAAACCCCTCCAAATTTTTTCTTCAGACTTTTCGAATGTATAGTGCTAACTGCACTGTTTAAGAAGACATAGAATTAAGTTTGCTGTATTCTTTTGTTTTGTTTTCTAAAAATTATGCAAATGTACTTTTTTTGAAAGATCTCTCACTGTTAATTTGCACATTCAAGGCAATTTGTAAACACAATTGTATTTGTAAGTTAATGTGCTTCAAATTATTTGTAATGAAGTTTTTCGAACACTCCAAAATTTTCTATGAAAAAGAGCTTCAAATTTTTAATTTACAGTAGCACTTAAGAGCCATTTTTTCTTAAAAACACCAACAAAGTTTTCAAAGGAAATTGCCATTTAGGATGATGTATTACTGTTCTTTAATATTCTTAAATTAATATTTGCGTTCTACAATTAGGAAACCAAAAAATGAAGAAACTTTCCAGAAAATGTACTTTGGGCAGTGATAGATGGCAGCTGCAAGAATATGTGATAAGTTCATATAGCTAGCAGAGACCAAAGGAAATAGAAAACTAATATAGGAAAGTCTCTGCCATTCTGTAGCAGCACTAGTTTGTTTTCAGAGCCAGTGAATAAGAGTATTTCTACTGAAAACTATGCAATGATTACAATACTTATTATGAACTACAGGCAAGAACATAAAAATTAGAGCTAACAAAGAGAATTAGGGCTAACAACACAATAAGAAAAATACATTTTATGAGGATGTGTTATAACATGTTATCATGTAACATGGCACAAACTTTTTCAAATTATTAATAACAATTGTTAAAAAAAATTTAATACAAAATATGTACTTCTAGGATTTCAACTACTGCTTGTGAATGTCTGAACAATAAAATGCTTGAAACACAGTAAACAATCTATTATCAATTTTTTAGTCACAATATGGCTTTCAGCATATCATTTAAGAAAAACACCACTTTTTGGAACTTTTGGGGAGGCATTTGCAACTGTGCTACATAGCAAAACATTTTTTAAATTTTTTTATTTATTTATTTTTTTAAATTTGAGATTTTAAAGAGAAAATTATTGAAATGACTAAAGGGTGCTGAAGAAAGTACCCCCTATAAAGTTCCAGCTCATGTTTCAATTTCACAAGACCTTAAGTCTGAATGAATGAAAAACAATTTAGTAAAAAAAAACATTTTGTTCATCAGGGAGCCCAAAAACATGTACTGTATTTCCATTAAAATGTAACATCAATTTTTGCCGCAAAATGTAAAAGAGAAAGTAAAAATTGAACATGTAGTACACATTTCAGGTGTAATGGGAGAAACAGACTAGGGAATCCAAGAAAGTTGAAGTATGTAGTACACATTTAAAGAAACTATGCATGTAAGACCAAGACCACGAAGAAGACGAAGGAGAAGGAGAAAAAAGGAACAGAAAGAAAGTAAAACAGAGGAAAACTCCGTATTTGTTCTGCAGATTCAAGGAAACTGGATGAGAAATACTAAATTAAAACAGCAGTCACTAACTCAACAAAACATTTTTAAGCTTTCATCTTTCCCAATGAATAAATAGGTCATATATTAGTTACTTTCTTTTTTACAATATTAAAAACAACAACAAACATTACTACTCTCTTTCTTGCAACAGAAACAAACTCACATTGGCACTCCCCTACAAATTCTCTTAAATAACATAAGGAAATTACACAATGTAATATTTTTCACTCACCTGATCTGCAAAACATTTGCAAGTTTTTTCAATGCAATTTTTGTGTCAGTTGCAAAAGATTTTTCTTTCCAATAACGAGATACTACTGCCCTCACAGCATTCCAATCCATTGCAGACACAGTTTTTTCCTTTTCACATTTGTTATGTGCTTGCCAAACTGCAAACAGAACTCGCAAGAGCTCTCTAATAAATATTTCTTTCACTTCTAGTGAGGAATCGCTTTTCTTTACTTTCAAAACTGTCTCGAATATCTGTAAAATGAGGAAACCATGAAATTGAAATAAAGATATCAGAAATTGCTTTACAGGGTACAAATAAGAAACACACCTTTACAATATTTTTGACTTTAATTATGAAAAATGAGAAAATTGTATTGAATAATATAATACATATGTAAAAATAATCTGATTACGTTGGAACAAAAAACAAAGATTACATTAGAAGACCTCTTCCCAGACCATCTTATATGGCAGGCATTTCATGACTCCCTGCTCAAGGCTATCAACAATGTCTCTAAATACTGCACTGATCTTCATACTTACATGGTACCCAACAATTGTATATAACATGGCCTGAAAACCAGGTATTATAATGCCCATCATAAAATGAGGAAAACATGAATGCTCACAAAACGCTAATTTTTTTTCACCAATATTTAGAAGATTTGGTTTTTCAAACACAGACTGATTTGTAATATGGGAAGAGAGAGAATATTTTGGTTTGAGAGGTTTACATAAAATGAAAACAACTGTGTAACGTGCATATGCCACAAATTAAATTATTCGAATGTAACACTGCAACAATTGCAGTGTTATAGAAACAACAATTGCAGGAGTCAAATATATTCTACCGTGAAAAGCAGAATTTTGAGAGTTATCAGAAAAACCCCAAATCTTTACTATTAGTTATACGCCAATGAAACACTGCAGTATTGCAGAGGATTTTAAACTTACATGGACAGTGTTTTCTGAAAGCTTCTCTTCCATCACTTTTAAAGTTTTCAGATTTTTTTGTGAAGCCTCTGTAATTAGTTTGCAATTTGAGAAAAATACCACAAGTAGTTGCAATGCCTGATGTCGTCGGAATGGCCTAATATCTGTATTGAATGCATAACTAAGAATTTCTTCAGTTAGCTTCCATGATCCTTTCCAGGTCATAGACAATACTGATTTGAACACATCCAGAGGTAAGAGAGAATCCCTGAAAAAATACATTTATACAATCAAATTTATTTTATACGAATAATTTTAACAACAATAAAGCACTTTTGATGAATGTACTTGTGCATGGTTTTCAAGTTTCATAACTGTGCATTCATCATAATTTTAAAAATCAGGAAAAAGAGAAGCAGCATTTCAAACAATCAAACATCATTATCTTGACTAATAGTTTGAAGATGTGAATACTGTATTTATCACTGATAACTAGGGGCGGATTTTAAACAAAAGTCATTCTTTTCTTTTCATTTTAGAACAATGCTTTTTAGTATAGATATTAGTTTTATATTTATACAAAAGGATACAACCCATTCTTATATGACTTTTTTTTTTTTTTTCATTTTTCCTTGATTTCAACTAGTAAGTCATTTTTTACCTTTTCCGATCATTTTTCACAGATTTCTTTGATTTTATTATCATTTTACGGAGAACTTGCTTCAAATAATATTTACGTGTTGCAACAAATGTTCTCTTTCCACAAAATTCCTGAACAGGCTATTTGATGTCTTCACTCAAAAATTCTAATGGCATTCTGTTCCGAGTATATAATCTAATGTTCCTGTGACGCCTATCAGTGCCATTGACAGTTTGGCTGATTTTGACAACTTAAGAGAGAGATTTCCAGACAAAGAGTTCCAAACCAAAAAGTTTCTAAGCTGAGATCATTTGAACAAAAGAAAGAAGCCTCAGTAGCATATCCTAGAGTTAGTAGTGCATCTGAACTGGTTTTGATCATACATCATAACATACAATTGTTTAAAAGTCAACCATTAACTCACCTCTGCTGAAAGAATGTAGTGAGAGCTTCTTTAAATTCTGCTAATATTGGGGAATGTTTGCTGTCACCATCTTCTTGCTCCACATATCGGGAAGTTTTAGCCAAAAACATTGAGCACTGCACCAGAGGTCCACCCATATTTTGATACACAGCAGCTGCTCTCTCACCCTTCTGCAGCAACCGACGGAAAATAGCTGCAATGAATCTTTGGCTCACTCCATCAATATTGGAAAATTGTTTCACTTCGGATAGCTTCTTTAAGCAGTGCCTGCAAGAATAATTTCACAAAAGAACATGCTCTCAGAAACATGAAATTAAAAGTGAATTGTGGAAGTATGATTATTTATTTCTTCAGCTGTTACTAGCAAATCCTGAGGTGATTTCAATGCAACACTATATCAAACATATTTCTGAACTAAATACAAATGCACACATACCTGATTCTGTTTTCTAACGGCTTTTGATGGCTATCCTTGATACAGAATTCTAGCAACTCAAACAAAGGTATAATAATATCCAGCACAACAACTAGAACAGGTTGATTTACAAGATACAATTCTAACAGGTCCACAACTCTGAAATAAAACAATTTCATTACAATAATTAGACAACATTTCTATCTTGCTACAATATGAATATTTTATGAATCATATAATACAAAATTCAAATGATACACATTAATTACACATTTTTGGGGTGAAAAAATAACATTCACATTCAGTTAGGATACGAAAATTTTGCAAAACTAACATGAAATAGTCATTGAAAAAGAACGACTTGAAAAAACCGAGCAAAAGATTACGATAAAAAATTTGATACCAGTTTTTTTTTAATTGTATTTTAAATTTGCATTGATCTTTCCCTTAATTTCCTCCACAAGTCGTTCCTAATTCTGAAGATGAAACCAAGAAGAAAAAAGTAATACGGACTTACCTCACTCGAAAATGCATAAGTGTTTCATCATCTTTTGACTGTTTTTTATTGGAACGTTTTTGATCTGCCCGATTATGTTTCAACAATTTGAACGCTTCTGATAAAGCAGCATCTAATCCATTCCTCTCCTCTTTAGTCATCTGATCCATGTCTATAGATTCCTGAAAGGAGAAGACAACATTCAACTTCTATTTTACTGAATATCTCAGAAGAGGATAAGCATTGTCATATAGACTATTGGACAAACTCTAACAATCTGAGATCACAGTACATCTCAGCTGAACAAAAGTTTTTACAATATCCAAAAGAATCTTTTTGCTTTCATCTTCGACATAGATTTTACACACATTTTCAATTTCTCTGAATACCCTTCACCATTCACTCTCACATCCCAATTTTTCTCTTGTCAAAATTTCTCAACAATTATTACTTCACCACCTTAAGAGCTAAATAGCTGCCAATAAGTTTCATTTAAATTTGTCTTTGCCAAATCATGCAGCATTCAGCAATTATGTGAAGAGTAAACATTCAAAATTAGAATGATTTCTTATCTAAGTAATTAATGTTTTTATGATTCTTTTTATTTTGTCAAAAATCCTTCAATTTTCATTACAGTGCTTCATTCTTTTGTTTTGTTTCTTTTCTATGTTACTGTCAAATGTGAGCTGAATTTAAAATTGGGATCATCGTTATGTTCCTATTCTCGTAATTTTCATTGTGGTACTCTAATCTGTGTTTTTGTTTTCTATAATCACACATACAGATGTAATAATATGAACTTAACTTGATTGTAGTTTGATTTATTGAGTTGTCATTATTTACTTTTAATTTTTTGTAATAATTTGAACAAATTGTCCTTTAAATTGAAAATAAATTTAAAAAAAAAAAAAATGATATGTTAGCTGAAATTAAATACAAAATACAGTACAGACTACGGAGTCTAACTACTGTACAAACTACCTAAAACTAGTTTTCAGAGTATTGAATTTGCATGGTGATGTGCCCTTATAGAACTAAAGATATTAAAATTCTCACTTAACAGAAATTGATGCTAATGAACTAATATCCTCCCGCTAGGAAAAAATGTAGACTTTTTCCCCGGTCATTAACAAACTTGATTCTCTACCTGCAAAGTCTTAATTATTCAAAGATCAAAAGCAAAACTTACTGAAATAATTTTAGCAGAAAATACAACCTGTACATTTTCAACCTGTAAACAAAAGACATCATTCAAAAAACTAATGTCTTTCTGCTTCTATTATATGAATGTTTGCTCCCTTCTCCTGAAACTTACATAATTCTTACAAGACATTTCCAAATAATCCTCCACATTATTGTGATCATTAACATATGGCTATCCCTGACTCTTTTTCTTCCTGTTGGCTAATAGGTCTACCAGAAAGACTGTTCTATAAAGAGAGGTGGAAGGTTGGTCATCAGGCTCCCCATGATAAAGCACAATAACCTCTTTGTTCAAGCCATACTACACTCTACTCTTAATTCAGATACTGAAGACCATAAATCTCTGTGGTTAAAAAATTTCTATCAGTACCACTTCCATCGTGTTAGCAGCTCCTCTAGATTGTCTGACATGCAGAACTCTTATCCTCACAAAAATCTGTTGCAAGCATCAGACAAGTCTAATCTTTTAGTTCTTGAGGACTTCAATTACCCAAATGTTAACTGAAAGTTCCTGGCCAGCACTATCACCACTCTACATGAAAAAGATTTCCCAGATTGCACCACATCTTCAACAATTGATTACCATATGAATTTTTCAATAACGAACTCAACAGGTATTTCTACTTGCTCCTCACTTTGCACCGCACCTCTACTGATCATCACTAACACAGAAAATCTACATAAATAAGTCCTCCATCTTACACCTTTAGCTAAATCAAACCACACATTCTTTCTCATAACAGTCCAACTGACATTCTTGTCCCACCAACACAAAGTACTGTACCTGTTCAGAAATTTGATCACAGATGACGAGGCCTATATTCACATAAGCCTCAGTCTCTCTCTCACACACCACACACCAAACACACACACACACACCATCTTGTTCACCTTTCTTCACCATCCCATACTCTTGACCTCTGGAAGGACTTCAAAACTACTACCCTCCATACAACTGATGAATTAGAAATACTGTTTTGCAACCTGAAGAGGAGAGACTATCACATAACAAACCATGGATGACAACTACGAATCAACAACTGACAGCGCTGAAGAAGAAATCTCAGAACCAGGTCAACTCTGCAATTTTCTTCCAATATGCACATTATGAAGAGGAACTCTTATTCTCTGGTCCAAAACAGATCTACAAATATCAAGAGCCAATTGAGTACCAAACCTGCTCTACCTAGAACCCTAGTTAATCCGGCAACATAATGATCCCTGACGGCACCATGATTCCTGAGATCTTAGCCAATCAATTCAACAGCGTCTTCATACATGAAGTTACTGCTTCACCTATCAACATGGCTGCCTCACGGACACTGGCCAGCCTGTGTTTTCCATTTCCTGCTCAACTGGTCCATAAGCATCTTATAGAAACCAAAGATAACATGTCAATGGACCCCGATGGAATCCATCTTTTCCTGATTACACAATGTGCTTCCTAACTTAGTCCAACCTTGGCTGACCTTTTTGAATTATCCATGAAAGAAGTTTGCTATCAGCCAGATTGGCTCTCAGCAACTGTCATTGGTACATACAAGAAAGGTGGCTGAAGAGTAGCAAATTATCATCCTATCTCATAGATCTCTCCCTTTGTTATAGTCATGGAAATAAATGTTGCCGCCTTAATATTGGATTTCTGCAAGAGCAACATCTTTCTGTACCGTTAACATGGCATTTTTCCAAGCAGTTCTATCTGCTGAAACCTACTGAAATTTTTCAGTGATGACCTAATTGTAAAACATCGAATAGTTGATATCTATATTGATTTCGAAAAATCTTTTGATCAAGCCTCCATGGAAAGCTGTTCAAGCTCGAGCACTCTGGTTTCTGAGGTAACCGCCTTTGTTAGATCATTTCCTTTCTAGAGAACTGAAACATCCGAGTAAGAACTGGCGGTTTTACCTCTTCTGAAAAGCCTGCCCTCAGCTGCGTTTCACAAGGGTCCATCCTTTTCCTACTCTAACTGATGTTTGTAACCTGATGGTATCCCCCAATAAGTGGTTCACTGACAATGTGAAATACTATGGTAACCCAGTCGTGCTTGGTATTCAAGATCTTGACAGGCTACCTCAATGGTAAAACAATGGCTGCTCACCATGAACCCATTGAAGTGTTCTGTTCTTAATACTCTTTTCGCCGGTCTGTGAGAACATCCAACCTGGTCTTCACATAACGGCCTGGAGTAGAAAGCATGCAATAATTATGTAGGAAGAAAATGTTGAGTTTTTAAAAAATACTCCTTTTCTTTTAAAAAAATGTAATAAAATTGAAGAAAATCTACAGAATAACAAAATATTTTGTGAAAAAAGGTATATGTCAAATACATAAAACAGGTAGTACTAAATACCATGTACTGAAAATTTTGAATGTGTAAGGACAGCAAAGATTCACCAAGATTGAGAACGGAAGTAGATACACAAAAAAAAAAATGTAATTTCTTAAAAATCCAGTATTTACTGATAAGAGAGGTTTGATTTTCAAAATCTTGCCAGAGCATAAACATTTAAGGGTGTAAAATGATATAGTAGAATGGTAAGAGAAGTAAAGAAATGACAATAGTCACCACAAAATTTGTTATTACATAGAGCTCTACATGTGTAAATACCATTGAAAATTATTAACAAAATGGAATCCATACTCATTTAGTTGATGTCACATTGTTCATGTGCCATTTAATAGGGTATTAACACAATTTATGGGCACAACTCAGTTCAACTGAAAAATCATTACTTATTCTTGTAACTCTTCCTTTGAGAAGATCTTAATTAGTAATTGAATGCATGACAATGTTAATAATGGAAATAATAATGATATAATGCCAACCCCAAACCTGCGGCGGTGACATTTATTTTTTTGTTTTTGTATATTTTTATGTTTTAGTAAGTAGGTAGAACAGAGTTTCAGTGACTTCGCAGGTCAAAAGTGGTTCTGATCTTAAAAACAATTTTTGAGCACTTAGAGATTTCGAGGTTTGATGGTATTTACAGTACATAGATACAATTACTCTTATCAAAAATGATTTTAATAAATACAGTTAAACTCTGTTTATATGCACTTTTCACTTTTATACGTTGTTTTTTGGAAGTGCTGGATAAATTCCTATATTCCATGCTAAATTATTTTAGATATGTGTTTTGTACTTATACATTCTTCACTCATATATGTTCATGATAAAAGTCCCTTTAAAACCTATAATGTCCAAGTGACAACGACTTCGGTGACCAATAAGTGAAAATGTTCTTGTAGAGGAACTTAAGGAATTTTTGTGTTGAATTCAGTATTCACGTTGTTTGATTTCACTGCTCTGCAGTTATTCCTGCGAGTAGGTCCAAGAGTGCAGTGCGCCAATGCAAAAAAATTGAGTTTCTGTTTTGCCCATAATATTTAATTTCAGTTATTTGTTCTTCTCACATACATGTTTTCCCTTCAATCCCCCTGAAAACATGTAAGTTGAGTTTTACTGAAAATGCCCTGACTTCGGCATGTTACTGCCACTGAAATTAATATCCATGTAAATGTTGTGTTCTACAACATTTACAATTATTCAATTATTCTTTCACTTTCTACATTAATTAAAGAATTGTTTAAAAATTTAGTTATTACAATTTTTTAATGATACCAAACAATTAAATATTAATCACCATAGCCACGTTCAAGCTCCTGATTGACAAACTGTCAACAGCTCATATTACTCGCGCAACTTTTCTTGAACGATAACCTTTCTTTTCCCTCTCTGACACATTAAACTGATGAAGGCAAAAGCTTGCAACAAGCACTGGCCAAACACATCTTCACTGGCGCAAAATAAAAACAATTTTCTTTTGAAGATGAGAACTTCTATCCATTATTTTCTCAAAACAAAATCTAAAGAAATGACCAAAACAAGTTAAGATCTATCACAGGAGATACCTCTAACTCCAGAGAAAGTGGGAACGCAAATTATTGAGAATGTTGCGAAGGTACAACTGATTCTCCAGAGATTGGCATTGCTTCGTAAAATCTAGTGGCCGATTTTGTAACTATTATCTCAACTCTACCCACATTTCTTCAATCCATCATTCAAGGAAAGTTGCGCGAGTAATACCAGCCAGGGGCAGAGTTGCATAAATCACAGTATAGACTCCGTGATCTAGATATGTCTTCGTGCACTTATCAAGCAGATACCAAACTTGTTTACATTTTTTTAAAATTTTATCACAGATATTAATTTTTTTTTTAAAAATTCTTTATTTACATACCGACTATTACCATTTACTTTCTTGTTTACCACTTCCCACTGTCAGTAAAGCTTCAGGAAGGAAAAAAAAACAGGTATAGTTCTTGAAAGAAAAAAGCAGATATGATGTGAAGGACAAGGTATTGACTTTCAAGTAATTACTGATGTAAATTGTCAAGGCAGTGTTGATACTATGGTACTGTATTTGCAGCATTTTTTGTGATACCTGCATAGATAGTTTGTTAGGCCATAACATTGACCTTGATTTCCTCAATTGGGCCATATACTATTTGACAAAGGCTAATGGGGAAATATGTCAGCCAGAGGCAACTTCCTCAACCCATTCCCACTAGCTGCCACTGAATATTTCTTTCTTACCGAGACAATCACATTTATAAATTCATATTCACACAAACTCTGACATAATTTTAGAACTATGAAATTGCAATACAATGATTTCAAAATTAGTAATACTTGAATACTAATGTAATTTTTAGATTTACCTCATCTGAACCACTGCATCCTCCACCAGCTTTCTTCAAAGCATTGTGAACTGCCATCTTTAAATGTGAATCTACTGGAGCATTTCCAAGATCATCATCAACATCATCATCATCATCATCATCATCATCTTCGTCTTCTTCACCACCACTTTCTTCATCAGAACTATTTTTATAGATTTCGTCTTCACTGTCATCCCCTTCAGTATCAGTATTTGATAATGGGCCTGCATAAGGATTCAACACCTGCAAACATTGGAAGAGTAAAAAAAAAAAAAATAATAATAATAATAACTATCAGAGCTATGAACACTTCCTTTGTACACTATCCTATCTCAAGTTCATGAAAGGTAAAATGATTTAATACATCACCAACAAGGATATCTTTACCTGCAAAATCTGATTCACTGCAGCTGGGGTCAGATGGGAACACAAGTAAGGAAAAATTACTACAACAATATTACGCAGCAGATGCGAACTGTGAGACAATAAAGATAAAAGTAGGTCAACAATAACTTCAACCCAGTATGGTTCATTATCTTCACTGTTTTTGTTTGTTTGCTTTTTGTCTTCTGACTTCAAGTTTGTACTGTTTGTTTTTTCATAACACACATGCAATTCCTGTTGAAAACAAAGTGGCTATTACAATGAGATGTTCTCAGAATCAATATTTAGTTCTAACACAATAGTATATTAGGCAACTAGTTTATAATGTTAAGCTTTATTGCATAAACAGAGTGGTCACGCATTCCCTGGAACATATTTCCCAGATTTCCAGGGCAGTTTTCTTTATTTTTCCTGATTATGTCTAACTTCACATTACTTCAAGAAAATATTAAATATATCATGATTTTAAATGATTAAATTTCTGATTTCACAGTGACAAAGCAAGAATGAACAGTATCTTCTCACCAATAGTATTATAACCTTCTCAAAGGATTCCCTGACTTCTAACAATTCTTCTACAATTTTTTTTGATTTTGACCAGACTTTTCCAGAGCAACAAAATTTAGTGATTTCCCCCCTTTTCCCACATATACAGAAAGTGGCTGTGCTGAAGAAGTACAAGGTTTGAAAATGAGCAATATTAGAAATGACCATTCTAATTTGTATGAATACAATAAAGCAACAGTATAAATAAGTTTCAAATGTTATTTTGTTTGTACAGCAGCATTATAAATTTATAAGATAATCAAAGTTAATTTTTTATCACAACTTTATTATGACCTCACCCATGCAGTTGCGTGCACTGCCACCTCCCCCTATTTGAGTGCTATGATTGGCTGTATGTTATTTGATTGAAGTTGTTTCATAATCCTGCACATTATGTATAATTTTCAGTGCCATAAGATACTGTTTATATTGCTGGCATACACAAAATATTATGAGTCTTACCTGCAAAGCTTCCTCTGCCAAAGGAGCATTTTGAAATAGTTGTAAACCCATATGGAGGAAAAGAATAAGAAACATACGTTTATCAGATCTTTTCACAATCACTTGTGTTTCATGTGTGTTTTCTATTTCTTTTACTACAACCATCATTTTGTGCCAAGCTGCAATAGACTGAACCCAATAAAACAAATATTAAAAAGTTACTAAACCAAGCACTTCTAATTCAAAATCCCAAGTCTCATTAACAATATAATGGCATACTCACAGAATCTGAAAGAGGTTGCCGTAATTTCAAAGGATTTTCTTGAACAAATAAAATATCATTTAGATGATAAACAACTGACGTCAATAACTTTACTAACTGGGTATCTTTTGAAACTTTCTGATCCAAAGCTCTGAATAAACAATTTCGTACTTGCACTGTAAAAAAGAAAAATTGATGCAAAATTCGTATAAAATTAACTGCAGATAAGAGTAAATATAACACAGAAATAATGCACTAACATACTGGACACAGCTGTGCTTGCAAAATCTCCTGGTTCCCGAGATGGTGAAGCAATTAATCCAAAAGATATTAAAAATTTCAATTGCTTTAATTTCCATTTTATATTTTCCTCCATGATAGGAAGACATAGAAACCTACAACATAAATCTGGCATTAATTACACTGTGAACTTAATCTCTGTCTTTAGATGACATTTCAGTAGAACAGACAAGAAAGGGATCATAAAAATCAAGTATGTTTTCTCAACAAAACTGAAAGTAATTAACTCGGGAATATTCACAATACAAAATGAAGGGACAAAGCCTGCAATTTTTCTGACAGTTATCCCAAGAGTTAATGCATTTTGTCAATGTTGCATGTCTGTTAAAGTGAAATTTATCTTTGCATATTTTGAAGTTTTACTTATCAACATTGTTTGAAATGTGTGTGGAACAACATTGTTAATATGAGTGATGCACCATTTTTGGGCAAATAAAAACATTATATCTTGGCTCACAGGTAGATTGTGCTGTTGATTATTTGAAAATATTGAACATGTGTATCTTCTCCTTTTTCTTTTCTTTTTTAATACTTATTATTATTATTATTATTATTATTATTATTATTATTATTATTATTTTAGCCTGCCTTTCCAACAAAGCAAAATACATGTATTAGGGATGCAGCTAGTATAATGAACACAAAATGGAAATCAATGCGCTTAAACTGTTGAAATGCAATGAATTATTACAAATTTAGTAATTTAGGAACATTTATCACATGATCGCTTTTATTACAACAAGAAGTAAATTTCATCAAGGGTTTTACTCCAACATCCAACTTCTGAAGTCACCTAAATGTGACACCCCTACCTTTTGCAATTTTCAAAAAATCAGAAAGTTCAACAAAAATGAGACCTACACCATTCTTTTATATCCCTTGTTCTATCCCTAAAAAAAATTGAAGCGATTTTGACAGACTTTTTGTTTTGTACTTTACATAACTTCAAGCAGAAATAATGCAAAAAATACTAGTTCCTTCAGAAAATTGTACACAACAAAAACCTGAGTTTTTAGAGCATTTTCCATTTAAGAAAAATATCTGTACTTACAAATTATAATTTTTCAATTCTTGATAAATACAGTGCTTGAAATTCAGGAAATGGCCATATCACTTTGCTCTATTCAAGCAAAATAGTTGGAGCCACTTCTGAGAAAATCATGGTTATAGGGGTTGTTATTGTTTTTATTATTGGTCACAATTTCACAAAAAATTATTAAAAAACTATCTTAAAAAAATTGTGCCTGACTTCATTTAACCTTTAATTACTTGTGCAGGTGCAGAATGCTCCAGTCACATTTTATTGCTTCCTGATGGTAATGCTTGAATCATATTGCATTATCATTACTCTATATTCTGAGTTACTATAACAGTTTGAATTCATATATCAACTGCTCCATTTTAAGTGGAGAGTGAAAGCTAGCCGAGTACTTTTCATAAAAATTTCACCATACTGTGTGCACCGCATGAATAAAAATATAAATAAATACAAGAATGATTTCTTCTCAATGCATTAGGTGTTGAGTTACATTATAACATGCGATGGTAAGAAATGTCGATAAAATATAATGTGTAAAATATTATCATAGTTTTATACACATTCATTCATATACACAAGAATATAAACCAAAAAAAATTAACTAAACTTTACAGTGTAAAATGGGTTATCAATTGCACATTCAGATAACAAATGTTCTGGTGGCCTTCCCCTTGCCGCAAAATGACTGCCCCCGGCCCCTTTTTGGCCTCCCAATATGTGTGGTCTATCTCGTCCGTTGGTAGGACGTTACACTAATATCTACATGCATCTATATTATTTTTTTGTACAACGTTTACATATATTTTATATCACAGTACATCAATGTTGGTATATATTATTTATGTAAAACACCTTTTCTTTAAATATATTATTATTACTATTATTATTATTATTATTATTACATTGATTAATTACAGACATACAAATCAAGTTACAACACAAATATCACACAGACCATATAATTGAACATTAAATAATGTTTTATGCAATAAGTTTTATTTTTTCTTAATAAACATCACTAACTTTTTGCAATTTAGCCTTTTAGCTATTAATGATGTTTTTTCCTTTGTTGACAAATGCAGTATACAGCATGTGTAGTACTTGCATGACAAAAGGAACACAAGTTGAGAAAGGTTAAAGATCTAATTTTAAAGAATAGATTTCATGAAGAAACACTGTCAAGGCATCAAAAATTTTGTTATATTAAAAAATTCTGAGGTTTTAATAAAAAGTAAAGCTAAGCTAGTTTTGACAAGGGACTACTACTATTCGTGCAAAAAAATTGGAGCCCTTTTTGAGACAATTTTGGAAAATACAACAACAACACTTTTGTGCTATCACAGAAAATGAGCATTCTATCTAGACCTCAACATCAACTTTTTGTAGCGTTCCATTATATACACATGGAAATGTTTACTTTATACAAGAAAAATAGTGACTCTGGTATTAAAACAATGATTTGGAAAGAATTTGTAGACTTAAATGCCTTAAAATTGATAACCATCTATTTAATTCATTAGACAGTCTTAGATAGTAAAACATTAAGTTTGTCACATTCAAGTACTTTGTAATTTTTCATTACAGAGACAAGTGTTTCCTGCAATTTTTCCAAGTAAATATATTAGTGTAATAGCAGTGAAATTTTAACATTTGAAAAAAATTCTAATTACACACAATCCAACTTTTTGAGTTTTAATTATATACAAAACATTAATAATTATACATATGCTCTTTTGAGAAAAATTACTTTGAAGTTGATTATCTTATTTATTAGTTCTGAGGTTTTCTCCAAAGAATTCAGCAAAATTAATGAATTATAAATTTCAAATATGACCTACCTTGTATATAACTGAGCAGCATATATTCTTTCTTGCTTACTCCATGAGCAAGTCTCTCCCTCTTTCTTAACTTTTGGTTTATGTGCACTTATTACATCCCTGAAAGCTTTTGCAACTTTTTCAATTGCCTCCGCTTTCATACGAGATGATAATTCCAACACAATTCTTGTACCTGAAATAGTTAATTAACTCAAATACACTTTTAAAAGTTGCAAACTAAGTATCAAAATAAATAGATCAATAATTTACCTGCCAACTTATCAAACATCAAATTTCCTGGATAAAATAAAATACGATGAATAAATGAAATCCTCACTTCATCTGGGACTTCAGAATTTGTCAAAAGATTAGACATTTTTGCAAATGTCTTATTAGCTTTCTGAGCTAATTTAACTTTACTTTTTTTCATTTGAAATATTTTAATAACTATTTCCATGAATTTATGCACCAGAAGTTCTGGAATCTGAAATTAATAACAAAAAATGTATTGTTTCAAAACAGTATTCAAACAAATCAATATTTATAATTAATTGTATTGTGTAATAATATATTAATAGTGTTTCATAATTAATGATTTTAAATTAATATTTAATGAATACAAGATGTGAATTCCACTGTGGATAAAACTGAAAATTGATTTTATTAATTATTTACTTACTTTTCGGTACAGACAATTTACCCAATTTACATACAGCAACACATACATTCATCATATGACATCAATAAAATTATGTTACAACAAAGTATTATGAAACAAACTTTTTATATACTATAAATAATCAACTCGTGATTCTTGCCAGTATCCTTTTTTTAAATCAAATTCCTAACGCAAATTCTAATACCTTAAAGATTGACAATTTAGATGCTAAAGCAAATCAAAACAAATGTAGCTCTAATATTTACTGGAACGAAGTATTAAAATGAAAAATAGATATAAAAAAGCACAAGGTATACCTGTTTTCTATCTGACATTTCTTGAAGAAGAAATTCTAAGAAATTTAATAGAACTTCCTCTTTTTGCTCATTTGGATGCTGTTCACATTCTTTGACAAATGATTCCCAGAAAACAACAACACAGTTTAAACGACACACATAATCACAAGCCACTTCATAAACTGGATGATTAATATTGATAGGCATTTTCTGTAATATTAAAATAAACAAAACACACATTTTAATGAACAGAAGTACAAAATTTGTAATGAAATAAAAGAAAATATTTTAAGGTACTTACCAAAAGTATCTTTGATATTTGATTTACTGAGTCTTTGTTAATTATGTCTTTGCTTCCAAATGCTTGAACAAGAAATTTTTTATTTATCACTTCTGGAAATTGTGTTTTAGATACTAGTAAAAGGTGAAGATGGTCCAGAGAATATTCTTCACAAGGCTTGCTCAATTCAGGTTTCAACAATGGCCAAAGTAGTTTTTGGAAATTCTCTGCATCAATCTAAAAAAATAATGAGGAATTATTAACCAACACTTTCACCTTAATGCCAACATTAAAACTAGTCACATATTTCTATTCAATTTTACGTACCTTCTGGATGTAATCTACCAAAAATGAGCATGCGTGTGGAAAAAGTATATTTTTGTTCTCATTCACAGCAAGAAGTTTGCTCAACAAATCTGTCTGAGCACTTTCAGATTCTTTAAATATAAAATCAGAATGAATTAAAGCTCCTTGTACCAAAGTTTGACACTGGAATACTTCAGTAATTTCCTGAAAAAAAAAAAAGAGGAAAAACTCAAAATTACTGCAACTACAAATGTCACAGGTAAAATTATCAAGTTCATTTATGCAAGTTAAAATGCACATTGAGTACAATGTTTAAGAGGCATTAGAATGCTTATAAATATGGCTGGTACGAAATTTAAATCAAATTACTGTTTTTAAAACATTGGAAAATAAAAATTATTCAGATAAAAAGACTTAAATCAATTACAAAGTTGATGCAAATTGTATACTATTATATTTCTTATAAATTTTTTCGCATAATTGGACTATTTTAAGAAAATAGCATACAATATAAAATACAATAAAATGAACATACATACAATGAAATGAACTTATGAAATGAAGAACAATAAACACTTTGTAGTAGAGTACTAACAGACTTAGATGATCAATTAGTTTTTATCCAGCATTTAATCGCCTGAAGAAATAAATTATTTAGCAACAATGCTGCTCTAACACACACAGAGCTAGTTCCGAGAAAAATGCATTTAAATCTTGAACTGTGTCTACAATTCTAGATTTGTATTAAAATGTTTGCTACAACCACTTAAAGTACATCTTCAAGATGATGAGTACTAATAAAAATTGAATTTTATTAATACTCATTTGAAGAACAAAATTAGTATTGTTAATACTAATTAAAACAGCAGTTAATTAACTACTTTCAACAATAGTAACCTTTTTCTTTATGTGTATATTGATAAAATTCCACTTTAAGTGTGAAGTATACTTCACACCGATCGTTAAAGGGAAAGTGTGTAACAACCATTTATATGCTGTGTTTTTTGATAACAGGACTACTATTAAGTAGAGTTGGGCAAATTTGGTGAACATTTTTTGGAACTTTATGTTAAGTAACCCCAAAATTAATTTCAAATTTCCAGAGCGTCGTCAAGACAGCGCAACTTGGGAATAATGATTTTTTGGGAAAATCCAATGAATGGTTTAGATCAACGCTGTCCAGGCAGCCCGCAGTGCCATTTATTGTGAAATATTGTTATTGCCATTTAAAGCAAATTAGTGATACGTGGAAGTCCAAACACCCCAGTGCCCTTAAGTACTCCTACAAACTTATCCGTTTCAAACTCCCAGGGTCCAGAGTTCCTTCAGATCAATCAGAGAATATCGATTTTGGGGAATATCATCTGAAAGGTTCAGGTGCTAGTGTTGTAGGACAACTCTCGATTACATTCAACTCTGATTTCTTAAAAATTGCTCAGGTTAGAAACAATGTGAAAAAAAATTATTTTTTTGTCCTTCTCCGTAAAAGTTTAGGTTAGCCATCCAGCTGGTGATATGGAGGTAATGTACCTGGCTTGTCAACTAAAAAAAAAAAAAAAAGGACTTGGAAAAAACACACACACTTGATAGTGGCAATCATTTTTGTGGGTTCATGTAATAATAGTATAATATTGCATAACTGTTACAAATAATATAAGAAAGGGCGTGCTATTGTGATCCCTACATGATTTCTAAATGATATTTCTTTATCCGTCCATCAGTCCCTCTAAATTAACTGTGCTGTAACAATCTATAAAAATGTTCTACTATATTTAAGCTACGCAACTTTATAGTAAAACTATTTTTTTTATGAAGTAATAGAACAAAAGCATAGGACTGAATCCCATGTTTCTTCCATGGAACCTCTTCAATGGAACTGACCTTTGTTTAATAAGATAATTGCGCTATTGGATTTCAATGAAAGAAATTGCTCATACGAGGGTAGAAATACTCATCAAGAAAAAGCTAAGAGGAGAAGACCACAAATCTAGAACAATCCACCATTGAGGTCTAGTCTCACAGAAAAAGAAAACAAGGTAGGTACCTGGAGATAAATAATATTTAAAAACTTGTTTCCAATAAGAGTGAAAGAGAAAAGAAACGAGCCAATATTTGAGAAAATATTCTGTGAATTACACAAGTAATAAAAATCAAGACTTCATCCAAGAAACATCAACTAATTATACCCAACATTGTCAAATATTAATTAAAGAAATATTTTAAAATGTTTAAATTTAAAAATAGTAATATTTACCATACCATATAACCTTTTTGTACATATAGTGTCCCTCCAGGACTTATTGAGAAGATTGTTCAGATGAAATGAACAATATAAATTAATTTCATGAAGTGAAATGGTTATCCTTGTGGTTCAATCTAATGAATGCCAGAATGAAAAGAGTTTGTTAGCACTGTACTCATGTACCGGAGCACATACCACGGCTGATCAAGCAAGCAGCCCATTTGGCGTGCCCTGGCCCAGCTCTGAACTGTTACCCATAGCTTGTGAAGTCAGTTCAAAAGGATGGGAGGCATTCTGGCATGATCAGCACCAATCTAGAGAAAGGCAAGTGGCACGAAGGCCACCAAGGAAAGTGTAGCCCAAATACTGGAAAGGAAACTTTTATCTAAAACATACCTTGCTGATCCCTTATTTTGTCATGGTATGCAATTTATTCACCTGCAGCTTGTTCCTAATTATCAGTGAAAATTGTGAAAACCAAAAAAATCCCTTTCAAAATTTGAATAACTTTGTCTATGTGGAATGTAAGAGTTTATTGTTGAAGGTGATTTTTATTAGCATTTGCTTAAGTTATTCAATTATGTTTGGCAATTGTTATTTATACCCATTTGATTTCAACTTTTCTGATTACTTTTGATTTAGTAGTTCATCAGAAGAGATGATTATCTTTAAATGATATCTTAGTGGGGTTCTTAGTAGGGTTAACATGTGAAACGTAAATAAATAAGGGAAGCTTTGCAAGATAGAAAGCTGTAACACCAAATACTTTTTGGTAAATCACTTTTAAAAGCAATGATTTTGTGGGAACAAGATTCATAACAGCAGAGTAGTACAATGACTGACAAGGATATTTGAAGCAATACAGTCACATTTTCCACAAAACTGTTGCTATCCACAATAATATACAATTTGAAGCATCATGCAGAAGAATAATTAGTTAAAAAGTGTTTCATTCTTTCACACGTTCACTATAATTTGTTTAATATTCCTGCACTGTTTATCATTTTACTTACTTTTTTGGAAGTATTACGACTAAGTTTCATCTCATTTTCAAGAATATCTAGCACATTTTTTAAAGTTATACATGAAAATAATTTCAGCATTTCCACCAGCACAGAGAAGTAACCGGCTCTTTTACTAGGATTGGAAGTTGCCAATCCCCTGATCAGCTTTTTAAGAGAATAGGTTATTTCTGGACAGGGGACATCATTCTGTAACACATACGATTAAACGATTTTAGTATTTACGTCTCTACAAAAACGTCACAAATTCCACAAAAAAAATACTGACGCAAGTTATTGGTAAATACGTGCATATAAAACAGCATTAGCATTTGAATTTTATTCAAATACAACAATCATTGGTAAACTAACCTCACTTGCAAGTTGCTTTTGTTGAAGATGGTGTATCAGTGTTACACCTGCATTAACGCGATAGTCCTCCTTACATGATTCCAGCGTCGAAAAGGAATCAATAAGAGAACTTTGCACAATTTGCTTCATTCGTGATATTGTTTCGCTCGCCATGTGTTCACCGTCTTGAACACCCTCCATGTTTGCCAATGTTTGCCGTATCCAGTACACGAAGATATCCGTGTTCACATACCAGGCAAAACAAATCAATAACTCGCATATGTTTCTATTGATGTAAATTGTTTCTGATAAACCCTCTTATTGTTAAAATGAAACAATACTTTATTATAAAAAGCAAAAATCACACACATAATTTTTTTCTTACAGCTTACGTTTCCAAATTTCAAGTTAAAATCATCCAACTGATTGTTTGAGTATTCCTAGCACTTTCGTCGCATCCAACATGGCTGGACGAAGTGGTTTTGATGGAAATAGGCAAGTAAACAAGCAACGTTCTTGTATTTAATTAATGTAGATTCATGTATTAAAATATTTATAACGATTTTTACAGCAATACATTTATAGGGCAAATATGTTTTTCGAAGTTTATTGCTAATTGTTTGATTTATCGTAGTCTTGTTGCGGCGAGTGTGCAGTCCCCATGTAGAAAGCCTGAACTCATGGAGGTTGCTCACATGTTCCAACAAGATTCGTGAAGATTAAAGAGCTTTTGTTGTCTCAGGAAACTAATACTCCTAAATTATTTCAGGGACTATGGAGGAGGCGGAAGAAGAAAGAAACCTCTACCTACAGCACCCCCATACATAGCCTATGTTGGAAATATGCCAACTGATGTCATCCAATGTGATGTTGATAAAATATTTCAGGATTTCAATGTATGAAGCTAAGTTGATAAACAGGATTAAATATTAGACATAGTCAACAAAATTTAATGTTGTTTTCAAACATGTTTTTGTATTAAGTAATGTATTAAGATTTTTGTGGGGTTATATCATGGATGTGTAATGAAATTCAGAATCAGTCGTGCTGGGTGAGACATGTGACTTATAAATTGAAAATTCTGCTTTCACAAAATTTTTAATAGTTTCATTTTCGTTTCAATTTAACTTCTCGTTCTTTGATGTGTAACTTCGTAGTACGCTATACAAAGGTTTGCAGAGGTCGCATGCTAAAGCTAGAAAAGCTAATTGAATTTGAGTGAAATCTTAGAAAGATTTTTTTCAAATTTGTATGCTAACAGCTCTTGCATATCATCATTTCAAGCCCATTGTTGATATTTCTTATGAGAATAAGGTCATTTTTCTAAACATTCTTGGCTATCTGGGAAGAGCCGTGTCTCGGTCAACTGTGCTCATTTTTCTAAAGTTTGAAAATTAGATAAATGTGTGTGTGCACTTCTTATCTATGTAAGTTTTTAAAATGTATAGTTGAGTACATGCTGGTTTTATCTCTGAATGATTTATTATTTTTCACAATTTCAGGTCAAAGGTGTTCGTATGATTCGTGACAGAGAAACTGATAAGTTCAAGGGCTTCTGTTATGTGGAGTTTGAGGACCTTGGTAATTTGGAAAGAGCTTTAGAACTTGATGGGATGGTAGATGTAGAAGGTTGTCGTATTAAAATTGATGTAGCTGAAGATAAAAAAGGAGATAGAGGTGGTGATAGAGGCCGTGGAGGAAGAGGTTGGTACTTGTTAGAAATCATTTTCGCTTTTAAGTAAGGAATTCAGATGTTAATGGAATTATTACATTGTAGGTGGAAGGGGTTTTGGAGGCAGATCCGATCGTGTAGATGATTTTGGTGAGTCACATTTGTAAAACATTTCTTTTAAAATCCAAAGTTTCATCTGACACGAAATAAATTTTCGTCTTGTGATTTATTCTTGAAATTGCAGGTGGCGGCGGTGGCGGCTTTAGCGACCGAGGCAGAAGAGATGTTAGCAGCCGTGGTGGACCACCTGGACCTCAGTTTGACCCACGTGGTAATCGGGGAAGCTATGGTCATTTTGAAGAAGGTGGGGGTGGCGGCGGTGCCGGCGGCGGCGTTGCTGGTGGCGGTGGTGGTGGAGGAGGACCTGATGGTGGGAGAGATTGGAATCGACCAATGAATCGAAGTGGACCCCCAATGGGTGGAGGAGGCGGCGGCAGCGGCGGCAGTGGAGCTGCTGGAGGCGGTGGTGCCTTTGGAGGACGGTCACGGTCTGATGGAAGAGATCGGAGGCCATTTCCTGATGATATTAAAGATCCTTCAACAGGTATAGCCTTTTCTTTTTCTGAAATGTTTGTGTGTCTGAAAGATGTTAAAAGAATTTATATTGGGCCATGCTTATATTTATAATTAATATTGTAAATTTTTATTACTAGTGGACACTTCTGGACGTCCTAGGCTGCAGTTACAGCCCAGAACTGTGAAAGAGCCAATCAACGCACTAGCAGAAACCAGCCAATCATCTAAGATTTTTGGTGGTGCAAAACCTCGTGAAGAGAAAATGAACCCAGCAAAGCCATAAACTTTTTTCTAAAGAAATTGTGCAGACATAAAATTATGAATTTAATATTTATAACTGGTCAGCTGCATTTGCAGGTGAGCCTTTTTTGCTTTTGGACTATCCTTTACTGTTTTTTATAATGTTTTATTAATGTTTTGATATTAAACATTTTTGTTCATTGCTTTCAAATTCAATTTCATTTATTGTCAGATGCACTTTTGGTTTAGACTGGTGAAGTATGATAAAACTTTTACTGCTAAAAATAACTTTCTTGTACCTATCGTATGTACATCTAGGGTTCTTTACATCCACACTGTATTAAGCTCGGTATGGAAAGAATAACCAGGGAGAAACTTTGGTTGGATTGCATGAATAAAAAAAAATACAACAAAAAATTGCTTTGTAAAGGACTTAAACTGTAAAAAGCAGTAAGGTGATTATTGAAATTACTTTTCGGCTGATGGAGACCCTTCACATCGGGTAGCACCGTTTCACTTGTTTTTGTTTTTTGTTTTTTTTTGTTCTTTTTTAATTTTTCTTTCTTTTTTCCTCATTTGATTTTTGTGCATTGTTAAATAGTGGAATTTCTGGGTCACTGTTGAACACTTGATGGAGGGCTCTAGTTGTTAATGTTAATATTTTTTAATGAATTGGATTGAATCCCCAGTTTAAAAGATCAGAGATTAGAATTAAAGTGAATTGTACATTTTTCTGCCCTTTTTATTAGGTTATATAAACCAAAATGCCAGGTATCACTTGTGTGGTTTAATGTATTTTGTATATGCAGTGCATGTTCATTGCTATAATGAGTTTTAGCATGTTGCATTGTTACTTTAAATTTATTAGAATTGTGTAAATGCTTGAAATGTTTATTAAGTTCTTGAGTACTGTTATATGTAATTGTGGTAGGTAATGAGGTACCAATGTATACTTGTTTAGAATTTGCATGTTGATTTTTCATGCTGTAAACTGTATGAAAAACATGACTTTCAAATACAGTTTATATACATATTTTTTTGTTGTATTTGTGATATATAAAATTTTTTCCCAGTTCTTAGTTATTGATTTTCCAAAAGAAGTTTAAAGAAACAAAAATTCAGATGTCTCATAAATAACCAGAAATCTTGAACATTGTTTTCCAAATCACTTGGGATTTAATTATGCAGTTTTAAGCCTATAAATACATTGTATCCATCTGTGCATGCAGTTCTGCTTTGACCTACTTCAATACTGATTTTGTTATTATATTACTCTTTTTGTTTTTAATGAAGTCCCAAGTCCATTTTTACATTAAAATGCATTCATTGCTTGTAATTTTTTTTATGCTGTACAAATATTCCTATTTTTAGTTAAGTTAACATTAATTGTTAATAGTTAAAAAATGTTGATTGGATGTGTAAATTCTGAGTTGTGATTAGGATGATGTAGAATAAACTTTCAAAAGTAACATGAACTTTTGTTAATAAAAGTAGAATAAACTTTATAAACATTTTCTGATAGTACTGTTCATCGAAACTGCTAAAGAAAATTGTTAGTTTCACAGTTCCTATATTTAATTAACTTGAACATTTCTTAAAAGTAACAAGTGTCTTTTTAAATCTTATATTAATAATTAGGGTCCAGCACATTACATATTTTTAGATCTTAAAAGCAGAATTTCAGTATGCAGATGGTATTTTAGTAAAAATATTCTTTAATTACGAACCCCCAACAATGTGTCAGCCTGTGTCAGTGCTATCATGCACTAATTTTCTAAACTGTACCCCCTTTTTTTTAAATATATGGACAGGGTTGGGAATTCTACAAATAAAACTCAAGTGCCAGGGGAGGAATGCAATATGAATCATTGATGTGAAAGTGACGGTTTCAATTTTCTATAAAATTAAAAGCAATATTTTTGCAAGGAATCGTAAGGAAGCGGAATGGTACATATATTTTTTACTGCATTTTATATGTACGAAGAAATGATAGAATTTAATGTTGTTCTATTTAAACTGTAAATTTTGAGCCATTAGAGAAAAAGAATCACATACATTCCTGGGCATGGTGATGCCAAATTCAAATGAAATCACAAATTTTAATTTTGAGAATATTTATAAGCAATTAAGATCTATCCGATTTAAAATCTTCAAAAAACAACAAAAGAAATCAACGAGGTACAGTAGAAAGCCAATTCCTTTTCTTTGATTTTCTGTTCTTTTTTTCCAATATCCTTTCATTAGGTTTCTTATTTTTCTCCTCAGATAACTTAGAACTAGTTTTCTTCTTTCGTATGTCCACTATCATTCTTATTATAGGTTCTTCCATTGTTTCTTCATCTTATGTACCATTTCTTCCAACCTTTTTTTTTTTTTTTAAACCCTTTGTATGTATATAGTTGATGACTTCTTCTACCTTATCTGTTTTGAAAAATACTTTTAATATTGCCTTTATTATGCTAATATTAGTTTAAATACATCAATTGTCAATATAAACGGTAAGTCAATATTTGAAATGCTAATTTTTTGGATGAAAGTACTTTGTTTTATTTAAGAAGGGTTATTTTCAATTTTTTGGCACCCAAATTCTGCAGCTGATAAATAGTTGAGGGGACATTAAAATGATTGAAAATATTCAGGTGGTATTAGTGAAACAAGGATAAGTGAAGAAACTTTAAGCTTTGGAATGCATAAATTGATATAATGTCAAAAATCTGGATTTATAGGCTTATGGGAAATACACGCAAGAAATGTTTGTACATTTCGTGCAAGAGATACAATTAGAATTGTTTTTATAATTTAGCCAATGCTTAGAATGAGTGAAAATTTATGCTAAGTGCATGGGCCGTGAAAGATCAATTACATATATCCATGTAAAGTGCATGTTACAAAGCTTGCTTATTTAAATTATGGTTTTGTAACATGCTTTCTTGTCAAATACTTTATAGGCGAGGAAAATCTGAGGGCTTGCACAGAAATTTTGATATATTGTTTGTTTGAGCTATATTTCTTTAGTGAATGTGTATACGGTTTTTCTGTAGCATACTGAACTGGTTACATTTCTTTTTTTTTTTTACAGAACTGAGTAAAAATAACCTACTTTGCGTCCATACCCAGGTCATCAGTTGTGGTATTTTACTTGGAGAAACAATTGTTTGAAAGAAATGTTGATTATCATTGTTAATATTTACTCTTGTCTTCTTTTTTTTTTTTTTTTTTTTTTTTATTCCTTAGTAAAATGACATTATGTATCTAGTTCAAAAAGAAATCATGTTACATATGCATGCAGGCTTGTACAGTTCGCTTTACTATTACTTTCTTTTGGAATACATTTTTTGAGAAAAAGCTAAGTTCTAAGGAATACTAAAAGAATAGTGTTAGTAATACATTAATTCTAGGCCAATTGCGTAGAGATTTCATGAAGGCTGCTAAATGGTTTTAAGGTTTGCCAAAAATTTTGTGTCTTGCAAGGTGTGATTTTGGAGTGGATGCAAACACTCTGTGATTCAGTGACTCTTCTACAAAGTGACAATTATGTTAGAAATAATGTGTACGAAAGAGACGTTTGTTCTTGTACATGTGGTGAATATTTACTTATATATATGAGAGTGTGCATGGGATTGGCATCTTTATGTACACATTAGGTTAATCATGCAAAACAAGAACAATGATAAAAGAAATGGTAAACGATTTTTTTAAAACAAAAGTTTAAAAATAACAAGTTGTTCAAATACTATGTAAAAAAAAATAATTTCAATATTGTGAACATATTGATGAACTGTGTTATAAAGGAAGCAGAGGTGTAAAGTGAATTAAAGAAGACTTAAAGGACTTGAACTGGCATAGAAGATTTTATACTGTATTCTATAAGTCTTTTAAGTGATTCAAATCTAATTGTGTTGTGTTTAATATGTGAACCTATGAGTTTTCAGGTTTGATGTTAGATTTACCTTTATTTGTTAAATATTTTTGGAAAGATGGATTGTGATGTCTTAATTCATAACAATAAAAATCACTGCTGAAGTTGCATTATGAAGCACAAATTTCTTTTCCACTTTTGTGCCAGAGCTGAAATTTACATATTGTTGGAATTACTGTTGTGTAGGTAAAAATATGATCATAATATATGGATAAAGAAATAATTGAATTTGATTTATTCTTCCCTATTTTGGCTAGTGAAGAAGCTATAATTTCAAATTCCTGGTTTAATAACTATTAGTAAGCTTAAAAAATCAAAATAAAGATGACTCAAATATTCAATTGCTTGTCTTGTGAGATAAATAAATGATGATTTACAAAACTGTCTCTTCATTCATTCAATGTTCATGAGCATAAATCTCAGGAGGAAGGAAACGTTTTTTCTCTGGCGATTTCAATTTTATTACTTTAATAGATGCAATTCCCTTTTGTTGCCACTATATGAACACTTCCTTGTACTCTTTTCTTTGGACATTGCCAGTCATAGACGATTGTTTAGAAGGTGAATGAGACCACATGATAAGAGAGTTTGAGGAATATTCCATGAGCTTTTTTACAATGTTAGATGAGTTAGCCATGAGATCTTTTAAATAAGACTATTAAAACTCAGCAAAGCAATGTGGGTGTTTATGTACTTTTCATGTGGCAAACAGAATGTGATTGATAAAAGAAAAGAATTGCTGTTCCAGAAAATAAAGGTTCCAAGTACTATGCTTTAAAAGAAGTGTGATTTTTTTAAGAATAATATTGAGGTAAGCTACATGAATGATGTGGGCAACATCTTTTTGGTTGAATGATCACGTCACCTGTTTTTTTGTAACTGAATTATTGGTGCAGACACTAAAGTTTCAAATTTTCTTAAATAACTTGTAATGGAGATTTTGTTTTAATTTTCCTATTGTGGTCATCTTTCTTTTTTTCTGTCCAATGAGCACTGTCAAATTGCATTACAATTTCCTACCAGTAAAATTTGTTATTTTCCTTTTGGTCTTAATTTTTTCTGTCACCATCAATTGTTTATGCTGTTCATAAAAATGCAATGAAGAAATAGACATATGAATAACTACATAAACTAATTACAGATTTGTTTTTATGAACAAAATATGAGAAAAAAAATGTTGGGCTTGAAAATCAAAAAGAAGGAAAAGGGAAAAATTTGTTTTATCATTGTTATTATATTATATAATAGCTGGTTCAGAGACAACTGTTAATTTTTTTTAGGAATCCGAAAGATCTTGGGAGTCCCACCATTCAGCTTTGATAAATAATTTATCATATTTCATGAAATATGTAGGGCCGACCTTCATAAAATTTCCTCCTCTCAATCTCTTAGATCAGTAGGACGAAGAAGAGAAGAGGACATGGTAATGATTTAGAAGACCTGCTTTTTAATATGGATATGATTTTTAATCAGAACTTGCAGGGTAGCTTGTGGGTAGTCTATTTGCCTTCCACAGCTGAGACCCAGTTTGATCCCCAGCTAATTCTTGTAGAATTTGTGATGGACAAAGCAAGCTCTCAGCAGGATTTTGGGGTTCTCCCATTTTCACTGATTATGCCATTTTCCCCATCAGTCCAAATTTAAAATTTTCTAATATTTCAAGGACTCCATCAACTACTGGAAGCTGCAGTACTGATCTGATATGCTGTTTCAGCATGACAGATCATTGACTCATCATGACAAGACAATGACAAATGCAGTCATTATCGCAGTTTTTTGCTATTTATTAAAGAAAACATTATTTTGTTCAGAATATTTCACCAATAACCTTGTGAAACACTTCTTATATTTTAATATATTTTATTAAAACTTAAGCAGATGTGACTTGTTAATGATTTATTTGGGCATTCCACAGATATGGAGGGTCAATAAAACTGCATTTGATTTTTAATTTCCATTTATTAAAAATATGAACCAAGATATTATTCCATCTCACAATAAACTAAGTAGCACTAATCTGAATTAATTATAGATTCTAATTAAGAACACTCCATAGTACAATTCCAGTCTCTAAAACACTTTATAGAAAGACTGGTTCAGGGATCTTCCAGTTACCCAAGGCAATGACTTATGGTAATGATTTACGTTACCTCTTTAATAACTTGTATAGAAGATACATTCAATGAGTTTTTTTAAAGTATTTTGGTTCTCTCTTTGATTCTGTTCAATTGACACTCTTCAGCATATATTATGAATTATGATAGGTTTTATTTCAAAACTCATGAGAAGAAATTAGAACTAATATAATTTGGATATAAAAGTCTGATAAGTTGAATATGACGCAATTTTTTAGTAACGTTAGAAAGAAACAGTAAGTATTCCAGTTTTCCCTTTACAATTGTAACCTTTAAAATGATGTTAAATTTACTCCACAGTCAGTTCTAAAGAAATTGGCTCTAAAAGTTCCCCAAACCAATCCTGTGTACCTTTGATTATTATGATTACAACTATTTCAACAAACTAAAGAGTCAATCTCAAAATTTGAACCGTAAATATGGAAGAGGTTAACTTAATGAAAGCAGATTATGCTGCTTTGGAAAAAAGGTTTACCAATCGACTTATTGATGAAATAAAATTACTAAATTGGGATGTGAATTAGTTTTAGAGGATATTTTACCTTTCATATTAATTGCTGTGCTAGCTATATAACCAGGGATCACACCGAAACAGAATTTCAGAATATATTATGAAAAATAACTAATACCATGTTAGTTATAAACACATATTCTGCACAATTTTATTTCATAATTTAGGATTACTTGTAAAAATGAACATATAGTATATATCACAATCTATTTTATAACACACAATATGTATGGATAAAAATGGCAGTGATAATTTTTTTTGCAACATTACATCTTATAATAAATCATTATGTTGCAGTTTTAAATGTACGTAAGGTAGACCTTAACTATACAAAAGTATTTTAATGAACTAACAGTTTTTTTTGTTATCCATTAAGATATCAAACTCGTAGCTAATGCAACAATATGTTGAATCCTTCCACATGTTTCTTCTCTTCACTGTACAATTTATTGTAACAAAACATAAATATATTACTCTAAATTATCCTCACTCACCTCCATAAACAATTTGTTGCTTAACTGATCTAAGGCAGCTGAAAACAATCACGCAAAAACTAGAAGAAGAGAGAGAGATACACATACAAAAAGAGAATAAAGAAAAGGACATTAATGCAGCAAAGGATATTTCTGATCAGTTACTAACAATAACAAAATTTCAATTTCATCAGCATTTATCTTACCTAATGTATGTGTTCATTTCCCTGCTAAATGGTACTCAGGTACACAATGGGGAGAAAATTCACTTTTTGCTATGTTAAAAAATTAATTTTTACAGAAAAGTACAAAAATACAGATAATCTGGAAAAAACTTCCTTTTTAAAATATCACCCTATTTTCTACGCTAAACAGAAATAGATAATTTTGTTTCTAATGGCTTTATGTTTGCAAAATGTAAAGTCACAAATACAGCTCTATAAATGCCACTGCTGTTTATTTTCAATTTGAATGTTAGTTTATAAGGCGTTGACTATAGCAACTGCTCTACCAGGTCAATAATAATTTAAATGGTGAGAGGTATTCAAAAAACCCCACAATAAATAAAACTTAACTTAATTTGAAGCTACATTGCATTTGTTTTGCTCTAATGCATTAGTGAAGCACCTTATTGCAGTTGAAAACTGCATCACCAAATTGCCAACAGCATATATCAAGGCAAGTTTTGCAACATTACAAACAACACTGCAATTTCAATCTGAGCATTCTCATTTGAACCAGAAAACATAATGTTTTATGTTATCTAGGAATTGCATTACATTTTGAAAAGTATTCTGCAAGAGTAAAGGAGGAAGGTGTGAATCACTGCGGGAGAGCATCCAATTAAAAAGTATAAAGAGGATTTATCATAATAATGTACCAAGTTAAAAGAAAGCAAAATGTCATATCGTCATTTTCCAGAATACTGTTTGTGGAAACCTGTTTTGTAAAGGAAGAGTGCAATTCAACTTAGTCACAAGTTCATTTGCTTCTCATTAATAAGCGATGTTTGTTATATCTAAAAATTGTTTATATCTCTTGGTTTTTTATTTTATGACAACTGAATTTTTAGACAACATTAATCCATAAAAATAAATGGCATTTTCCATCCATGAAATAGTGATACATTTGCTACCAAGCAGCAATTGGTGTAATATCAAAGATAAAGACTTATTTCACATTTTAAACAATTTTTTTGAACCTTAAATCTCTATATTCAATTTTTTTGAGTTACAAAAGTATTCTGGAAAAGTGATAATATTTCATACAACATCATATTAAAATAAGAAAAAAGAAACAACATAGTTAATATGTTCCAATATGATATTTCACAAGAGCCAGAGGGGGCCTATTCACATACCAATATAATGTTAGCAGAAAAACAGGAAATAATAAGAATTTAATAAAAATTGCAAATTTTATTTCTTGACAAAGATAATTTCATACACCTCACACTCCAAGACACCAAGTAAAAATCATCAAAATATTGTAAGGTTGCGTTTATGAACTATATCCAATGTAACAATTATTCAGCATTTACAAATATACATAAGGAATCTCTTCTACTCAGAGTGAAATGACATGTAATGTTACATTTCAAAATTTTATGCTTATAATGATAATGATTTGCCATATTTTAGAAAAATACAATTTTTTGGTGTTCTAAACAGCAGTATTTACTAGTATTCTTTGCCTTCAGTGGCTATACAGACGATTTCATTCAAAAACCATCCAACATCAATATTATATTTTACATCTTTTTTATACCAAAAGATTAATGATAACATAGCACAATATTATTAAACAAGTGAGGTTACCCTATAATCCCTAGAGAACATCCATAATGTCAAAGATCTCACAAGCTTATCCTTAAAGCAGCAAGTACATTTTTATCGAGCTCACACAATTAAACAAATTAACCGTATAAAATTATTTTTCTTTACAGCATTGCCAGATCACAAATTATTAATGAAAGAGAGATGAATATAGAAATAAAAGGTAACATTTTTTTTTAAATTTGTGTACACAAAAATATCAAAATATTTGCTTTCCTTCTAATTATTCTGATAATATTCCATAAATTTCTACCAAATTAAAATTCTCTGTTGCTTTTCCACTGCATCAGCGTGAAATATGACCATCTCCAGCTTGTGAGTATAGAGAAATGTATTTTTTTCCTTTTCAGAAAACAATGAAAGATAACCACAAAATATAAAAGTACAAAGATAATATCAAAACTAAATTTCATCAGATATTCTTAGCAACAAATTAAAATGAATAGTTAATAAAAGCAACCTTTATTTCTAAATAGCTAATGATCCCCACATTTCAATGCACAATTGTTAGTGAATACAATTTCCCATCAAGAAATTGATGAAAACATTTCCATCTGTACAGATATACAATAAAGATTTATTCTTTTTTGATGCACCTCAGTCCATTTCCACTCTCGTACTCATGTAATTATCATTGCAAAAAACTACATGAACACTGAACAACTTCAAGCTGGTGTAGGAATCAGTATGTACTCTGGACGGATGACTATTATTTCTCATTTGAATTGAAATATCAGTGTACCTGATTTATCATCTGTAAATAGGATGACGTGCATTGAAGGAGGAAAATAGTTATTATTTCCAATTAATCTACAAAAGCAACAATTAACATTTAAGAAACTTGTATTTTAAAACATTTACTCTCTTGTATTGAAAATATTATTCTCGATTCATTGAAGGAAAAAGGGATTCTACAACAAAATGAGATTCTATGCACATTCATAAAATTACTGGCAGTAAAATGGTTTCTTACTTTTTCTAACTGCTCCAGAGGCAAGACAGATTCACTAGAAATCGAATATAGAGGCTTATCTGAGGGAGTCTAAATTTATAAAACCTTGACAAATTGACTTTTAGTTAATTCAGCAATGAAAAAAAGCAAAAACTATTTGAAACATTCTGCACAAAAGTTTGGTAACTGTCTAAATGGAGCAGTTGACGAAACCAAGGCAGTTTTTCCACACTCAACAAAAAAGTTAATTTGAGAATAGTATACCATTCATAGCATTTGAATATATCTTCGAAGAGTAGTTCTCAGGTTTACGAAGCTAAATTCAGAGAAAGGTAAACATCAAAACGGAGACATAAATGACAAAGAACCTTCTTCCTTACATTATTTTCATGAAAATGATATCAGACTGAAACTACTTGTCGTCTGGGCTGAAATATAGAAATAGATTCTTTCCTTTCAAAGACCATACATGTTTAACAATCTCCTGCAGCACACAACAAGCGCAGAAGATTGCAGACTCTAACAATATCAAAAATAAAACATGTGACAGCTAAGATTTTATAGACCACAGAACACTTGCACATACTATGCTTCCATACCAACTACGATTGCTCTACTTCTCATTCACAATAAATTTGGCATTATGTTAATTACTTTCTGAAGATTAAAGGAAATCATTATTTGCTGCACAAGACAGAAGAGAGAAAAAACATTTATATTGCTGCTTGTAATTTTTAGGCATTTGTTACAAGAAGCACAATGAATAGGACAGTTGGAGAAAGGACCTTCAGGCATAGAAACAAATGAAGATCCCTTCTTTACTTGTCCTCAACTTATATTTTAGATAGCCAATAGTTCACTTCACAAAAATTAGTAGTATGTTGTACATCATATAAAGCAAATTCAATACACATTCATATGTACCAACCTATGAAGTAATGTTTATCAATACTTGGGCATTCCTTGCTTTCCTTGATAGCCCTATTCACTTAACATTATTTGGTAATTTATTTATCAACATTATAATGCAATGCAACACTTTGAAGACAGTCTGTGACCAGTACCAATTACCTTTTATTGTAAGTGCAATAATCATTGAATGTATAATCATTTCTTATTTGATTATCCTGATTTTGAAAGAAACCTTTATTCCATAGAGAGAAAGGGAATGGACAAAAGCGAATTTCCTCACATTAACAAATTGTTTTAATACACAAGGACACTATAAAAGGAAAGGATTGTACACCACAACGTCACTACATTTGCACCAAAAGTAGATCAAATGCAAATGAGTTACAGATTATTTATGACAAGTGAAAATCCAAAAAGATTTATAACGAAATTCTTTGCAGACAAAGCATTATTATGAGCTGTAGTGACATTTATGAAAATATGTAAAGACAAACTAATGCTTTTTATTATACTTTATGGATTGAATATTTTTTGGAATACACACACACATACACACACACGCACACCTCTGTATATGATTTGCAACTTTTTTTAATGAATCAAAGAACTCATTAAAATGTAAACAATATTTTTTTCTTTAGTGAAACTTTTGTGAAAGATTTCACAATATTTTGCTTACAAAAAATAGACCTTAAAAAATTATTTTTATTTTTAAGATTAGGTGAACAACATAAGTTCAACACAAACTCATTTTGGTGTTGAAAGAATCATTAAAAAGAAATATCTGAATTTTAGAAATTGCAATACAAGCTGAAAAACATTCAATTACAACAACAGACGAGATATTCTCAAACAAGATAAAATATACTTCATTGTGCAGTGAATAACATTTGAAACCGTATATTTCACGCTTTTATATAATTCATCATGAAAGATATTTTCATTTTTATTATTTTTTTTTATGTGCCTTCAAGCAATTCAACAGTGCTTCACTGCAAACAGGATAGAAGCAAAATTTCTCTTATTTTTATTACTTCTTTAATTAATTGTTTAATGGCAGCATAATGATATTCATAAAAATTAAGCTGGTTGAGTGAATTTGCATTTAGGTATAGTTGTTTCCAATATTATCAAATATTTAAACATTCATTTGGTACTGATAGAAAAAGAGAATTTAGAGAAGAATTTAAGAGTAAAAAATGCACAAGTGCATCAATGAAATTATTAATTATATTTTTCATTTAATTTACTACAGCAGATACAACCTGCATAAATATCACAAATTTCATATTACATTATTTTCTCACACATGTTCAGTGCAAATGCAGGGATGTTAGCACTTCGGTCTAATATGGACAGGATGGGAAAGGGAGGTGATGTCTATAGAAATGTAAGAGGGGCCTGAAGGTGCAAAAATTCATATACCTGAGAGAAAAGGTTGCTTTGTCCACTTAGCATAACTTTTGACATCAGTTCTTTCTCGCACTTGATTATATGTGAATATGATTTAATATTTCACACCCTGGCAGAGTCATGGGTTGTCCAGCTTCTTATAATGTGTGCAGACATTACTTGGCACCAGGTATTTTGCTTAGCACCTGATGTTAAAGAGAAAGCAAAATTCATTAAGATACAAACTTTGAAAATAAATACATAAAAACAAATTTTCTATGATTAATAATGCTGAGGCCCCTATTGTGTGCATAATTAGTGCACTCACACACACACACATCACACTGTGGAAAATTGAAGTTTTAACATGCATCAAATGTACACTACTTAATTTTTACTTTATACAAGAATATTAAATACACATATTTTGATCAGAGAAATGATCATAATAAGAGAAAAATATGAGGTATTACCTACGTAATGCACCCTCAATAGAAAAGAATCATAATTAAAAAAAAATTGAATTTTGAGTAGATACATTTAAAATGCAATTTTAGGCTCTTGCATAAAGAAGAATAGTATTTTAGTCAATTGCAGGTGATGTTCATACTTCATAAACATGATTTGATAATGTAATTTACAACTGTTAAAGTCGTCTCCTGAAAAATCACCATTTTTGAGTTAATATGACAATTTTCTACTGGGGGTGTGGTGAACACAAATTTCACAGAACTTAGTACTCAATCAATTTCTGGTATGAAACAAACTGGAAAGTGATCAAATTACACAAGAACTACAAGTAATTAAATGCATACTGACATATCATGGAAAACTGTTTGCAATCTTCTTATTATTTGATAGGTTATTTGGAAAGGAAAACAATTTCAGGAATCGATGCATGGCTGACACGACCACATATTACAAGGAAGATATTCATATTACTAATATGATATTAGACATTTTCTAGCACTTACCTTTAAATGATGAAATTTTGTGCAATACTCCCAAATGAAACTACTCTGCAGTTGAAATACATTTTGTAGCAAAAAAAGGAATACTGAACACATGATTTTTATTTTTGAAAAAGAAAATAAAAAATAAAACAAAATAATGAATAACTGAAAGGGCATACGCAATTTGTTAGATTGTTTAACTGATTGATTAATGTTTCCAGACGAGTCAGCTGCCATGATCATTAGTCCCATTAGTTTTATAATGCAAATTGGTTTTCCTCCCCTGCTAGATGGCAAGATTCAGCACCGACCTAAATGTTAGTGTGCAAGGAATTTCCACCTCTAGGTATCTTCCCCAGTAGGGTACCGTCCCAGCAAAGACAAGCTCCAAGTTCCTGACTGGTTTCCCGACACGACAAATAGAACATTTGTGCACAGGCTGAGGCCTGTTTAATGTACTACTATGACATTCGCCTGGCATTGATCATTCAAACTACAAAACTACTAATAAGAGCAGCCAACTGCTAGAATTCTCGTCCATATAGTGACTGAATTCAACAAAGCTATTTAGCTAGTATCAAAAATTCACCATTGTTGGGATTCAAACCCCATGGCCTCTTGGTCAGAGTCAGAGGGACTGCAGCAATGCTTGCTCCGAGCTAAACTATGCCGGTATATATATATTTAGAAAATGAAATCTAATATCAAGTTTAAAGAAATTGAAAAGTTTCCACAACTAATCTACAATTTTACTACTGTACAACTTGCGAAGAATAGGGGATAAAATAAGCAGCCAATAATCTAGTACAAGCTTTAAAACTAAACCATATATTGCAAAGGGTTTTTCTGGCAGTTACCTTGGATGTGGAAGGAGAGGATTTCACAGTGCGAGGCTTGATTTGTTCAGACCGAGATAACTGAGGCTGGAAACAGCAAACAGGCACACTTTCTTACCTTTACACTGATGGAATTTACTTCTCATAATTATATACTACATTCACAAAATATTAATCAATCCCGTGAAAGACATTAATCAGTTAGTAAGGTCAGAAAGTTAATATATACAAATAGTTTCATATAAATTTCAATAACTGAAAAATGAAAAATCCACATTACACTAACACTTTTTGAACGATGGACATTCACTTTTTGTATCAATTACTTTGAAATATATCTATAAGCTTTTGTAATACAACAAGAATCTTCAAACATGTTTCTCTTCCTAAGGCAGAGATGTGTAGATAAGCAATTATTCAAGACAAGCATGTTTTTGCTTGGGCATAAAATACATTAATGAAAACTTCAATGAAATACTATTACTTCCAACATGAACTGGAAAGTTGTAATAACAGTATTGCACTATGAATATCAGCCATGCTTTCTCAAAGCACTAATAGCAGTTATGTGCAAATCACTAGCATTGAAGAGAACTGATCTTGCAATGATGTATGGAATTACGTAGCCTACTACCACCTGATTCCAAGAGAAGGCACTGAATGAGACACATCCTTTGAAAAAAAGTGTAATTATATAATGTAAAGAACTTAACATTAAGACTAACATAAATATTACATTCAATTTCCTTTAACAACCACCAGGCATTCATAGAGCGACTTTACTTGACTATAGTGACTTACTGAAAATTACGTACCTTAGAAAGGTCAACGCCAGTGAGGGCCTGGACAGCAGGAGGCACCTGGCTAACCAATCGAGTCACTTCAGCAGTTCCTCGATCCTCTCCACCTAGCAGTACAATCTCTTCGGTCTTTGCTAAGGGAGCAGAAACTTCAGCAGCAATCTGAAACAATAAAATCTAATTGTAGCTTACTGTTCATCAAAATGAAATACACTCACTTTTTTTTCAGGAAAGGAAATATTTCACTTGAATTCCTCCAGTGAAGGCTGGAACAGTACAGATGGATGACAAATTAAGTCCTATGCAGAGGAGTATATAATGTCTACGAATGTGTATTGATGCCTGCCACTGATTTTGTGATTTGTCTGCGCTCCAAACTCTTAATCCATAGTGCTAATGCTGACAGTGCCCTTGGTGGCCCTAACTTTTCAATATTAAACATAGCTTTTCTTCCTCTCCCAATAATGTATGTGCATCCCCCCCCCCTTTCTTTTAAAAATAAAATAACATGAAACAAATAAACAAATTCTAAACATGAAATTATCCTCACGACTACTTTCATTGTAAATAATTTTTAATTACATTCAATTGAAGACACATTCAATATATCATATTAAAGAAAACTTTTTTGAATAACTTGGATGCCTATTAAAATATTTAAAGTATCTATGATTATGTCACCTTTGGTAGTGCTTCCAAAACCAGAGACATGATAGCAGCCTCCCCGTATTGTTTGTAAACTGCTGCTTTCATACGCATACGTTCAGCTTCAGCTTTCCCAACACCTTCAATTGCATATGCTTCTGCAGATCCTATTTTTTTGATGCGTTCTGCTTCTGCTCGAGCAACCTCCACAGTCTGGGTTCTGAAAAAGTAAATTCACACTTCAAACTAGTGGTGCTAAGACAGCACATACTTAACACTTTCTCATTGTGAAAATTGCTTGTATTTCACGCAAAATTAGGGAAAAAGTCCTCACATTTTCGAAAAATTGTACATGGCCTTATTTGAAAATCTATCTATAAGGAATAGTTTTCATTAAGGTAAAAAATCTCTATCTTCATAATTGTAGTTGTAGGAAGACGCCGAAAAATTTTTGAACTTTTGAAATATTTGAAAAACCATTTTCAACAAAAATGAGACCTGCACTATTTTCTTATACATCATTCACACTATCCAACCATAAATTTAATAAAAATTATGGAGCCATTCTTTTGAAAATTTTGAAAATGTCCCAAGGGCATCAGGTACAATTACCAACCTGTACCAATTACCAATTAACAACAAGTACCAAAAAATTTTTTAAAAATTGTTTCAAATCCAAGAAGTCGTGACATCAGCTAGATCGATTGAGAAATATCAATTTTTGAGAAAGTCAACTGAACAGTTTACCCACTAGCGTTGTTCAGAGATGTACAGACAGATGTTTTGCCGACATTTGATATTTTCAGTATCAAGGTCCCACCAAACATAGATTCTGTCAACACCAAGTGTTAGAGAATTTTCTTCCAAAATTAACAACTGGATCTATCCACTTTTTCTTACAAGGGCTCTGAAGTGAAATGCAATTATACAAATTTAGTCCAGTCAAATGGTAGAAAATAAGAGAAATTTTTGGTGCAGTTTTGACATTTGGTTCCTTTGGCTTACTGAATACAAATATCCAATTTGTGTCTCAACTGCGAAAAGTGTTGCCTGGCGCCTTGACTACAACTTGTTAGTACCATCTGCTTTAACATTTGAATTGAAATTTAATTCCTGCAAGAGTTCCTAAAGCTGCAAAAAAGTGAATGAAAGAAGGGAGGGATTAATGCGTCACAATTGCAAAAAAATGTTGCAACAATATGACAGTGATTTCTGAAAATTATGTGAGAGGAGATATATATGAGCTGGAACAAGGACAACAAGAAAGAAGGCATTGATATTCAAAATATTAGATAATACTAATTAACAAAACCAATATAATAACAAGAGTTACAGTAATAATGGACTGCTAACATCATTATTTTTATATAGCAGATGTCTATAAAACCAGGGACTAGGAAACAAAGGCATCGGTGAAGGTGCAGTGCACCTTTTAACATATTAATTTTCTTTTTCACATTCTCAATTACCTACTTTTCTGTTTTCAAATAAAATGTGAACTGATTCACAAGGTGCCGTATTTATTTGTATACAACTTTACTGGACTTAAATTTCATATAAGTGTTAGTGAGAGAAGGAAGTTAAGTGGAGTGCCGTTTTCATAGTTATATCATAGTAAATACATTTTAAAAGTTTTCTGTGAAAATGTGCTATTAAATTGGCTGGTTTTAGAAAGCTGACAATATTTTCTCCAGAATGGCTACAATTTTTCAATGAAAATTTTCAAACAGAACCAGACTTTAACCTTCAATAATATTCTGAAAGTCATATTTCAATTCTACAATTAGGGTACATAAAAAATAAAACACGTACGTTTGTTCAGTTGACACAAGACTATTTCCTCAATATAAATATTAGATGAAAGTAAAATGAATCACTGAGTTAAAAAATTGATTAAAAATATTATGTTCTATAGCATTATTTGTAGAAATAAGTGAATTTTGATAATATTGTTAATTACTGATGTTGAAATATCTTTTAGCTACAGTAACTTTGGCACCATTAGTTTCTCACACAAGATTACAAAGTTATTCAGATACGTAGATTCAATGTTACAAAGAACATTGAAGACTGTGTATGCACTAAAATATCTGTTTAGTTATATTATTCGTTTTATCAAATCATTACATTATCAAGCTGTAACTCGTTTACAATTAGTACGGTCAAGTGATTTGGCATCGCGAGACAGGGGCTTGGGGCAGGCGAGTCAAAAGTAGATGCTAGGGACACTAAGGTTGTGTTTCGAAATCCACATAAGACATTAATATTTTCAGTTGAGTTTGAGGTGTGGGGGGGCATTCCGTAGCCCTCGTGTAATACTCTCCGCCTGACATTCAACTGTGGGCAATCTAGGATTCATTGAGGAACTTTATCACGCACTCAGAAAAATAGTGCTAGCTCCAAGGAATACCATGGGCAGGTATTGTAAGTAAAAATACAGAAACGGGATAGGTTTACGCGATGTGCGGGATGCGCCAAGGTGCTCTTCACGACACCCCAGAAGGGCGGAAGGTGCCGTGAGAGGACCTGGTAGATTTTCAGACTCTGAAGAGGACCACGGAAAACTTTACGATCATGACAGCCAGCTGCTACAATTGTCCTCTACACAACGGCTGAATTCGATATAGCTATCTACCGACGGGTCTCAAAACCTTTGACTTTCCGATCATAGTCACTGCGCAGACAGCGGTGATGTTGGCTCGAAGCTCAACTCAGCCGGTTCGAATCACTGGCGAAAACTATTTTTCCCCTCCAACCGTACTCACTGAACTGACTCTCTCGAGGTGTTTTTCAGCTAGCTGTCGGCTCATCCGCATGATGGAAGAATACATTTTGCGGGAGTGTGGCGTTTTGCGACACACGGTTCAACGGTTTTACAACATTTCAAAATAATTTGCCCGCTGGCCAGACACTAATATATTGGACTTTTGTAGTCATGTCTGCGGTGCAGTTTTTCAAATATTAACAGCAAAAATCTTGTCTGGTTGCTAGTAAGTTTCTTGCTGTCATTGTATATATGTCAAGCAAATTGTCAAGTATAACAAAAGCATGTACCTCGCTGTACAATACAGCCGGAGGTACATTGAGGGTAATGGAGTCTACTGCTTGAACCCAGAAACCAGTCAATTCACGGAAATATCTTGAAATTGAGAAATTTTCAGGAGAAAATGGCGATATATGAGAAAAGAAAATTACTGAGCACAACTCTAAATGATTTCTACTATTCCAAGGGAACGGTAAAATTACGTTGAAAATTAATGTAATAAACCAATTTTCACTGTATAATTTCTAATCAACAAATCGCAATTCTTACAAACAATAAAAATCTAAGTTATCAATGGATTTTTCGATTAGTCATTTTAAACATAAGTGGCGAACACGGCGTTTCTTTCCCAATGCAACCTGAGAATGGTGCAGACCTTAACGTCGGTTGCTGGATTTTCTCAAGTATCTCCGATCGAGAATATATCGGAAAATGCTCTACCCTCTCTACACATGTAATGCAGTGCATATAAACGTATGTGTGTGTGTGTGTGTGTGTGTGTGTGTGTGTGTGTGAAGGAGGGAGGGAATTCGACGGGTGTGTGTGTGTGTGTGTATGTCAAGGATAAGAAACAAAAAATCGGGCGTGATCCGGAGCCCGTTTCTTAGGATACTGCTCCGGCATTTGTATTATTGATCGGAGAAACCACAAAAAAACTATCGATCTGAGCAGTCGGTCGCTAGTCCACCTTATAGCAGGTGAATTCGAGCCAGCTCTGTGTCACACAACCGTTGGGACTCAAGCCGTAGATGATCTCTTGAATAATGCTGCAAAGGCAACGCTGTGGCCGCTGAACTATCGCAACCGGTAATGTCATAAGAAATAATTGAAAATGTTTTTGGCTACAAATTCGTTAACTTTTGAAATACATCTTTCATGTAAATATTAACTTTTCCCTTAATAAAGGATTACGAAGGTATTAAAGAATGACCAAATTGTTTTCCATATCAATGAATGAATTGATCTCTATTCTATCTTAACACCAGATTTCGATGATAATGAATATTATGCTTATCCCAGACCCAAGCAGGAAACAATTAGAGAAGTAAAACTAAAACTCAAAATCCGCCGGAGCTCCCGGTCCGAGACACGTCCTGGGCGCTGACTCACCGCTTGCCCTCGGCGATGGCCTGCACCTTGTAGCTCTCAGCCTCCGCCGGCAGGCGCACGGTGGCGTTGAGCTCGCGCTCCTTGCGCTCCACCTCCTGCGACTCCACTTCGATCTGCTTGCGCCGCTCCACCACCTCGATCTGGATCTCTTCGTTGCGGATCTTCTGCCGGATCTTGGCCGCCTGCAGCTCGTACGCCAGCTGCGCCTCCGCCTTCTGCGCAACCGCCCCCGCGCGCGCAGCGCCCCACCGCTCAGTCACACCCAATCAGAAGAAGGCGCGGCCGCAAGACGATTTGCGTTTCGCGGAGGGTTCGGAATAATGAAAAATAAACATCTGTGTTTTGGGTTAAGTCATTTCATTATTTATTTGCACATTCGACTTCAAAATACAAAAAAATCATAAAAAAAGACTATTTAATTTTTTAGAGGGCGATCAAAGTACTGGGAGAAAGAGGAGAGACTGATTTCCTTCCTCTGTGTACGGCCTTTTAGGAGGGTTCTTTTTCTTCGGTTATGCACTCTCGTCAAGAAATCTCTTCCAGCATTCTTTTGCATTTTAAGGAATGAAAATTGTAAGAGCAAGCCAATAGTATCCTCACTCTTTTCTTTCTTTCAATAAACAAGGAGGTAAAGTATTTCTGCAGTTAACGTTTTTCCATAAAATTAGACTTTTATAAACAAATGGCAATATAACATTACTACAAAGTAACCTTCACTTGTTAATAAATCCTTAGATTTTTAAAACAAGTAATTTTACTTCATTTTGGTCTTAACAATATTATTGAAAACTGCTTCTGAGTCAATCGTGATGGGATCTTCCTATTTCCCTGACCTACAAGGCAAATATTGAGATGGTCCCTAGCCTTACTCATGGACATTCAACGCTAGCTTATAACCTCATTAATGTCTGTTGCAGACTTCGAGAAGCAACTCCTTTTTGACATAAATACAACATAAATATAAAAAAAAATTGTCATTGATAAGATCTGCGATAAGAGTCATAGTTAGACTAACTTCTGAACTTACTTAAGACTAATTTTACAATAAATACATCACCAATACTCACGGCAGTATTCACTTCTCTGTCGAAGTTCGCTTTCTGCAATTTGAACATTCGAGCATTATCTTCGATTTTCGTGTCGGTTGTGTACTTCACATCCATGGCGGTTTTCTCGCATTCCGCTTCCTAAAATGAATTCTTTATTAATTACAAAATAAGTGAAAAGAACAAACAGACAGAAAAATTACCAAATCCACAAAGATACTATACTGTAGAGTTAAAGTTCCACGTCACTTAAACCATGAACAAAGATCTGGATGCCCATGCATCACAAAAGAAAACCTCGGTCCAGCATTCAACTCGTTTAACTAATGGAGAATGCGAGATCCCGTCCAGAGAGAGCAATTCAGAAACCACCTTTTTGTTCACGGAGGAACACACAATTATAATGAGAAATTGTAACAGCGAATACTTGTGAAATGATGAATGATAGAAAAGCAGTAAGCACATTGCTTCTTGTGAGCACGTTTTTTTTCCGTAGATATGGGGATATCACGCGGGAAAATGTTTTTAATGAAATATGTATTTTAATCACCACTGTTCAAAAGCTACAAATCAAAAATGTAGTCAGAAAATATTGAAGAATGTCCTACAAACGGATTTTCCCTTGATCTGGTTATTTTTAGTTTTTAAAATTATGTTCTTTACCAAACAATTTTGACTCTGCGGAATCGCTGCCAACTGAAAATTACAGAAGACTATGATCCCAGACAATGATCCCAAGGCCCTTTCGTGTGAGGGAGGGGAAAAAATCAGTAATGCTGGGTAATAGATAGTGCCGCACAGACAAATTTTTCGAAATCAAACAAAATATGATATAATATATGAGACTTTTTTGATATTATGTGATGTTAATTTAACATTAAATGTACAAATTAAAAATTTTATAAGACACAACAGACGTTTTTATTAAGTGATGTTTGATAGACTCTCTCAAAACAAAATTAACTTTTAAGTTTTCGTAGTACGTAATCTGTAGCGTAGTGAAGGATGTAAAATTCACATTCAATCTAGAAAATTCTAACGTAATTCTTACGTACGTAGTCTTAAGTTATAGGTAGCTAAACAAATATATTTACTGTACAAATAAATCAATTTATGTAGTTTACAGAGATCCGTTGGTGGCCTTCACTCCAAACCACTGCGGCGTTAAAAGAAAGAGATTCACGGAGAGGGAACAAACTTCGCTTTCACTTTATAAGCATTAACAATTTGATTGAAACGTCCCCAAAGCAGAGAGGTGCTAATGCAATCCGCAAACACACTTTCCGCTTAACAGCGATACTCCGACTCATCGATCGTGCGTTATTCAAAATCGGAACCTTAGAACCTGGTGTTCGAGACCAATGGCTTCAAGTGTTCCTCGAGATCTATCAACAAAATCTTCTGAGATCTTCTATTGCATACTTGGGGGCTTGGCTCTGAGTACCGAAACTATCAAGCAAGAGAAATCAGAATTTCCAATTACATGTAAAAAAGGAACTATTCGATATTATATGCGATTTAACTTGCCACGAAAATTCACGAAAAAAATTATTGTATCCTGAGCCCCAAAAATTCAAATTTTCAAGGATACGAAATTACTTTTACTTCAGTTTTCAAAGTTTTACGAAAACAAAAAAACTCGGGAATCCATAAAATACAACAAATATCCGGGTACCCATTTAAAACTATTAATTCTAGTAATCAACGGAACAGTACAAAAGTAGGTAGTGCTTTATTTTATTTCAACAGGAAATTCATTTTACATGAAGATAAAAAATTGCTCAATAATATAAAATAAATAAAACATAACAAATAATAAATAATAAACAAAACTAGTTACAACATAAAATCAGTTGTGCCCTTTGGTTATAAAAAGTAAACTTTACGAATCTGAGATCAGTTTCGTAAAAAGAGTAATTAGAACACAAACGTTCTAATGACACACTATAACAATTATCAGTTTCGTAATGGAAAGTCCACACAAGGTTTTCAATAATCCATGACCTCCTGTCAAACATTTCGCAAGTCAACATCAATTACACATTTCGCAGCATTAATAGTCAAATTTAAACTGAGTTAAGCTACTAAGTAAACCAAACTTACTAGATTTATTACAAAGTGGATAAAACGTTGGACAACACTGAATTTTGTATTTTTTTAAAACGTTGGACAACACTGAATTTTTGTAGTTTACCTATTAGGACACAAAAAAAAATCTTATCAATTTGACCCAAGTCTCTCAATATTTATTACTCATATTTTGGAACTCTTCGATACAAATTGTAAACGTAAATCACACGCGAGATTTGACATATGTCGAGGTACCGCTGAAACTACGCTCATTATGTTCATTCCTCGCTACTAGTAATAAAGCAGTTCCCTCTCTGAATGATTACAGTGCCAAAATTGAACTCTAATTTATTCAATTCGAGATCAGCCAATTAATATAGCCAGGATCAATTCTAATGACTAGAAATTCTAATTAGGCTGATCAATCATTACATAGCTACGTTTGCAAAACGTGAAACAGAGTGTACATAATCAAGTATGTAAGTTCAATGACATAAGTAAAATCATGTGCACGAGAGAGCTTTTATGTCTCGAAAATGAAATGTAAATGTTTCAATGAGGAGAGACTGTACCCATCTTAACTTCTTTTCAACTTGAAGGGTAATTTAAAAAAAGTGCATTACAGTATAACAAGATCTTTTATATGTCGTATGGGAAAGAGAATCGCATTGAAAAAAAAGTTCTTATGACAAAGGAAGAACGTCGACGAGTACAATGGAAAATGTTTATTATAAGCTAGGTCTTCATTTTTTGGCAAGTTCTTTCTGCTGACAATACAACACTGAAGTTAAACGCTGCAAATTCGAGAGTTCGCACGAGATATCTGCGCAATCGACAACTGTCAAAATACGAATGCTGGCTCACAGTTAAACGGTGCAGATATCTCACGCGAACTCTACAAACAAGGATCTGGCGAGCTTCTCGATTCTGCGCTAGTAGTTGCGTAAGTGGAAGTAAGGTAATCGTAAGTAGACTAATTTTAGTAGAAATTATTCCTTCCAACAGTCAGTTTGATTATTCTTCTTCTTCAACGAAAGAAGTCTCATTTTGAATGGCTGAAAGAGGTAGATGTACTAGTAAGTACACGTTGATTGATTTTTCGTATGCTTCAGAAATACTTTTCATGCTATCACACAAAATTATGCTTCTATGACAAAGGTTCCGAGCACGATGTGAAGTGGCTGAAAACCAAACGAAATTCCTTTTATTAGATAGTTTTGATAGTGTATCGTGCGAATACTTTTCTATCACAATCGGGATAACTGACCGATTTAACATGGTACATGAGACTTTTGATATTTAACATAGATTTCTGAACTGCGAGACTAGAACATACAGTTGGACTCATAAATTAATGCATCATATATTGATCATTACTTTATTTAATAAAAAAAGTTCTGGCTAATTATTCCATGTCCTTTCTTTAAGATTTGTATTACCATGAAAACAGTAGAACAAAATTCAGAGTCACGTGATTCTGTACTTGTGATCGTGGAACCCCTTATGAGCCTGAGGGCTGGTCGAGATGGAGTGAGGAGAGTGGTGTAGAGTAGACAATGAAGTGTAGGGGTGGGCAATGAAGAGTGGGAGTGGTAGTGGGCAATGAAGAGTGGGAGTGGGCAATGAAGAGT